ATTGTCTACAGGGATCTCCAACCATTTCTTGTGAGGAAAAACTTACCTTTGTTTTCTCAGAATCCTCTAGGTTACTCTGGAGGTAGGGATGGAGTGCAGGGAGAGGCTGGGCAGGAGTTTGAGCAGCGTGGACCAGAAATTAATGACAGAAAGCACCATATTGAGAGTGCAGCTAATAGACAGTAGGTGGCTCAGCTACGCTCCCCTCCCTATTGGGAATTGCAGGGAGCCATGAGGAGAATTCATGATGGCAGCAGATAGCTTGGAAATCAAGCTATTAAATTTTCATGATCGACAGGCAGAATCCAACCAACTTATTTGGGACTCTGCCTCCATCATAAAGATCTTACCAAGGTTTAACTTAAGTCTTTTTTCTTTCAATTAAATTTTCTCGTTCTGATAATTGATGGTGGTTGTGATGGGTATTTTTAAAATATATTTTATATATTTATTTTTTATTTATATCTTATATATTTATTTATATTTGGATATAGATATAGCTGCGTCCCTGTCAATGACTCATAAATTGCTCTGTGATCTTTAAGATATATATGCTGAGACTCAACTTCATGAATTCATATCTGGCCTCAGACACTTATTAGATGTGTGTTCCTGGTCAAGTCACGTAGCCCTATTTGCCTCAGTTTCCTCATCTGTAAAATGAACTGGAGAAGGAAATGACAAACCACTCCAGTATCTGTGTCAAGAAAATCCCAAATGGGGTCATGGAGAGTCAGACAGAACTGAAAAATGACTTAACAACAAAATACATGTATAGTATATATGTGTACTGTGTATATACATATGTTTGCTTGTAGAGGTGGGTGTCAGAAGCGTTGTGGTTTGTGTAATTGTGAAGTATATTTTATATACATATAGAATATGTATATATAGTATATGTGGTGAAGTATATATAATATACATATATAACATGTATATATATACTTCACAATAACTCATAAACCACAACCCTTGACACCCACCTCTACAAGCAAACTTATGTATGCATATATACAGTATACATATATGTGTATATACTGCATATGTATGTATATATATATACTATATATATTAGCATTTATATCTTAAAGATCACAGAGCAATTTCTGTCATTGACAGGTCCTCAGCTATATCTATATCTAAATGTAAATATATATATTACATATAAAATATACATATACATACACACATTTATGTAGTATAGAGTATATATTGGTGGCTCAATGGTGCCAGGATTGGAGTCAGGAAGACTCATCTTCATGAATTCAAATCTGGCTTTAGACACTTCCTAGCTGAGCAAACCTGAGCAAGTCACTTAACGCTGTTTGCCTCAGTTTCCTCATCTGGAAAATGAGCCAGAAAAGGAAATGGCAAACCACTCTAGTATTTTTGCCAATAAAACCCCAAATGGGATCATGAAGAGGTGGACACAACTAAAATGACTGAACAACAATATTGTGTGTGTTTGTGTGTGTGTGTGTGTGTGTGTGAGCGTGCACACACATATGTACGTCTACAGTCAGTTCTGCTATATCGGACCTTGACACATGCATTTCTAAAATTCACTGCATTGTGCAAAATAGAATAATAAAAACCACAGGGCTTATGGAGAAAATGGCGTTAGGGCATGAGACTCGAAAGCTTCATCTCTGTCTCCCCCCCACCCCCCACGGGAACCTAATGAAAACAGTAGCACCATTTTACACGTGTTAATTGGTTAATACATATATACCACACTAAATGGTGGCTCTGCAGTGTTCCCCCTGTGTCGGGGCTGGCCACAACTCCAGGCCTGGGGCCAAGGCCATGGCAAAAGAGAATGGGGGAGGGGGTGGGGCGGGGTGTTGCGGCCCAGCCCTCTTTCCCCTCTCCTCCCCTTTCCCTCCTTCTTCTCTTCCTTCTCCTCCCCTCCCCCTCCTCCTCCATCCCCAGCTCCCACTGCACTAGAAGACACAATAAATATGGCGTTTTACCTTGGCTAACCCTGAAGTTTGCTTAGGGAAACAGGTGTCAGAATTAGGGGGGCTTCATGGGAGTTATTGGGAAGGGGGTGGAAATTGGCTGAATTCTCTCAATATTTCTCTATGGGTACAGGAAGTTCCTTGCTGAGCGCTGCCTAGACCAATGAAATTACTAGTCTCATCAAATCTATGTATACACATATACACACAATACACATACATACATATATATATGTATACACACATATACACATTTACATGTTTTTGTTATTATTCACATGTATATATTCTGTATTTACACACACATACATATATGTATATGTGTATACATAGACACACAGTTTTATGGGCTCTCTTCCCCATCAGAACACGTAAACTAGTAGGGACTATTTTTCTTTTTCCTTGTATTTATATCCCCAAAGCTAAACACTGCATGGTACATAATAAGCACTTAAATGCTTATTGACACACATATGATGTATTTGTATGTGCCTATATATACACACGCATATGACACATATATGCATGTGTGAACATATACATGTATAGGGCAGCTAGGTGGCTCAGTGGGTATAATGCTGCACCTGGAGAAAGGAAGACCTGAATTGAAATCCAGCTTCAGAAACTGCCTAGCTGTGTGACCTTGGGCAAGTCACTTAACCTCTGTTTGCCTCAGTTTCTGCATCTGTAAAATGGGGATAATGATAGCACTTACCTCCCAGGGCTGCTGGGAGGGTCCAGTGAGATCACATTTGTAAGTAAATGGTAAACCATAGAAATGTTAAACATGTTACAAATCTCATTTGAGCCCATAGTATCACTTTTTCCCCCCCAGACCTATGTTTGTAGGTATTTGAGTAGGTAGCTTGGTTTCCCCCATCTGTGTAGGTAGAAGGGGGAATTTTAAAAGAGAAAACTTCCTTTACCAATGCCAACCAGTGACTATCCCTCTAATTTTAGCTTTAGAGAGTTGCCTGGGGCACTTGGAGATTAAAATATTTGCTCCAGGGCACAAAGCCAGACTCCTAACTCCTGGGTAGTACAGTGAAAAGGGCATGGAATCAGGAAGACCTGAGTTCAAATCCAGCCTCAGACACTTACTAGTTCTCTGACAACGGGCAAACCATTTAACCTCTGACTGCCTCTGTTTCTTCAGCTGTAAAATGGGGACAATATTAGCACCTGTTTCCCAGGGTTGTTTCAAGGATCAAATGGGATATTTGTAAAGAATGTTTTAAACCACAGAAAAGCTATCTCTTTCCTAGGTTCTCCTCCTACCTGCCTGACTATTCCTTCTCAGTCTACTTTGCTGGCTTTTCATCCAAGTCATGCCCATTCATTTTGGTTAGGCTCTGACCTGGGCCCCCTTCTCTGCTCCCTCTCCAGCATTTTCCTTGATGCTCCAATGGATTCAACCATCAGTCCCTCATGCCAGGAATGGACTCCTTTATCCCTGTTATCTCTGAGCATTGACACGTTTCTCTTCCTTCCACATTTCTCTTCCTTCAAGGCTCATCTCCCTCCTCCATGGTCTTTCCTGTTCTAACCAAGTCAGATGACAATCTTTATTCCTTGAATATCCCTGGGCAATGTTTGATCTCTCCTAGGCATGTAATCTGTTCCTAAATTGCATGAAAGCTATTTAAGTGTGTGTCTCATCCCCAGTCCTCTTCACCCCCGTATTGAAGGCTTTTTCCTTGGTTCAAGAATCTGAGGGTTCAAATACCACTTCTGATGCTACTCGTTTGACTTTGGGCAACTCCCCAAGCCTCAGTATTCTCATCTGTAAGTCAAGTCAACAAGTAACTCATCAAGCATTGCTATGGGTCAGGCATTGTCCTAGGCGCTGGGGATACAAATAGAAGCAAAGAAAGACAGTCCCTGCCCTCTAGGAGCTTACATTCTAATGGGGGAAAGGCAATACATAAAGGGAAACTAAGAAGGGGTAATGGTACAAAAGGGGGGGAATAGACTGGATGGCTTCCTCACAGGTCCTTTCCACCCTTCCTGAGGCAGACAGGGTTAAATGACTTGTCCAGGGTCACACAGCTAGGAAGTATCTGAGGCTGGATTTGAACTCAGGTCCTCCTGACTGTAGGCCCAGCGTGCTATCCACTGCACTACCTAGCTGCCCACCTAGCTCAGTCAATACATGTCCCAAAGGGATCCATTTCTGTGTGAATTTGATGCCACCAATGCGGCATCTCTGTAATTTATAGTCTTAGGGAGTTGACTCAGGCACTAGAGAGGTTAAGTAATTTGCCTATGCAGGTACAGGTGCACACTCATCCATGCACGCACACACACACACATACAAATGAGAATTCCAACTGGCTGGATAAGTTGGCTTTGCTATTGGTCAAAAAATATATTCCTGTCCTTTTGGGGAAAAGATAATGTTACTTATTTTGTATGTTTCTTGTATTTATTTATTGGTACATACATTGTATCCCTTCTTTAGAATGTAAGCTTCTTGAGGACAGGGACTGTTTTTGTATCCGCAGTGCCTAACGCTGTCTGGAATATAGCTGGTGCTTACTAAATGTTAACTGATTGATAAAGCTCAGTTATTTCAGACCTGAGGTCACTGTATATTTGGAAAGACCAGAAAAGAGATCTGCTCTCCAACTTTTGTGATTACTTAAGTTTTGAGTAGTAAACCCTCTCCCAATGTCAAGAATTAACTACTGAATATTTTTCATAAGACCAGAATGTATTTGTGAAATTTACATCAAATCTATAAGACACAAAGTTCAGGAAAAACTGACCAAATACCTTAGTAGCTTGAGCAATGTACACAGACCAACCAAATTTTTCCAATCCTGTCCCCATCTCACCCCTTCTCGAGGATGAGTTTTTTAGCTTAGTTTTTAGCTTGGTCTTCAAGACCACATGTCAACTTGTAGAGGGCTGTAATTTTTAGGCAGCTACGTGGTACAATGACTAAAATAATGGGCTTGGAGTCAAGAAGACCTGAATTCAAATTCTGCCTCAGACACTAGCTGTCTGACCCTGGCCAAGTCTCTTAATTTCTCCATGCCTCAGTTTCCTCATCTGTAAAATGAGGGGGTTGGACTAAAGGGCCCTTCCAGCTTTAAATCTATGATCCTAAGAGATCTACATCAGAATAAGAAGTATCTAAAAGTGACGAAATCACTTATCCTTGAAGGACAGTGTCTATCTAAGTGATCAATCTAATTAGAAATTTCCCTGACTTTCATGTCTCTGAACCATATAACCAGTCTGACAGAGAACAGATCAGATAGTTATGAGAGAGAGCACAGTGTTGATCTGTAATCTGCTTGATACATGGTGAGAACCAGTGACCCCTTACAGATCTTCAGATTCATGGTGATCATGCTTGTCATCCATTTTCTTGCGAAGTGAGCCCAGTGAAAATGCAGTGGGAGAGACGGGCCTGGATTCTGGGAAGAGTTCTTGATTCTGCTCTATTCTGTACTTTTCAATATAAGGCACAGCAACTTCCCAAACCTGGGAGGGAAAGGAAAGACAATGACAGAATCACAACGTTGAAAGGCACTTCATTTTATAAACCCTGTTGAAAGCCAACTACCTCCAGAGTTAGAAACTACAAGTGACTGGAAATTTAATAAGTAGTGGCTTATGGTTATCTCGAGTTTTTGTGTATCCATTTCGCTTACAATATCCACTATATTAATATCTCTTAAAACACAAGTCCAAAAGAATTTTAATTAAAAAAATAAACTTGAAAAGATTTAAATGTGTTTAAGATGTCATTCATTCATTCATTCATTCGGTGAGCATTTATTAAGTATCTGCCATGTAGAAGATGTTGGGGAGGAAAAGATAAAATAAAAGAAATAGTCTTTGCTTTCAAAGAACTTACATTCTACTGTGAGGAGTCAAAAATTATACAGATAAGCAAATGCAAGGGAGAGAATGCAAGTAACAAAAGGGGTTCAGAAAAGATTTCTAGAGGGGCAGTACCTAATTTTAGTCCTTCCTAAGAGGTGTAGGTGAGGAGGAATGTCAAGTTTGGGGAACAGCCAGCAGGCCAGTTTGGCTAGATTGTAGGGGAGCCAGACTGTGAAATGTCTGGCAGATGAGGCAGTTTGTGGCATCATAATGCACAGTGTTCTGAGCCTGGAGTCAGGAAGATCTGGGTTCAAATCTGACCTCACATACTTACTAGCTGTGTGACCCTGGTTAAGTCATTTAACCTCTGCCTGCCTCAGTTTCTTCAACCATAAAATGGGGATAATAGTAGTACCTATCTTGCAGGGTTGTTATGAGGATAAAAATGAGACAATATTTATAAAGCACTTAGCACAGTGCTTGGCATATAGCAAGTGCGTGGAAATGTTTATTCCTTTCTCTTCCCCTATCTGAAAACCTGAGTTTGAGTCCTACCTCAGACATTCACAAGCTATGTGACCCTGGGCACGTCACCTAACTCTGGGCCTCAGTTTCCTCATAAGTAAAATGAAGGAGTTGGACCTGATGGTCTATACGATTCCTTTCAGCTCTAAATCTAGAATTCTACGAATTCAATTAAATTCGAGAAACAGTTATTAAATGTACAGCACTGAGCTAGGTGGACAGCCAGGTGGTGCAGTAGATAGCGTGCTCGGCCTGCAGTCAGGATATTTGAACCTGAGTTCAAATCCAGCCTCAGACACTCCAAGCTGTGTGACCCTGGATAAGTCACTTAACTCTGTCTGCCTCAGTTTCTTCATCTGTAAAATGAGCCAGAGAAGGAAATGGCAAACCACTCCAGTATTTCCACCAAGAAAATCCCTAAGGGGGTCACAAAGAGTCAGACACAACTAAAATAACTCAGCAATAAACACATACATTTATCTCGTTTGTGTCTTACAGCAATCCTGTGAGGCAGGTACTATTTTTGTCCCCATTTTACAGATGAGGAAAGTGAAGGTGAGCAAAGTTAAGTCTTGCCCAGAGTCCCAAAGCTAGTTAAGTGTCTGAGGAAGGATTTGAACCCAGGGCTTCCTAACTCCAAGTCCAATGCCATGCCTGCTATGCCACCTCCGTTGTCCTCCCTTGGCTTTTCTGAATCACTTATCTATGGTTCATACGGATACAGAATAAATCCAAAATACTCATCCTTGTTCATCTCCTTTTTCCTATGTCCTTTGAATAAAGGGCCATCCTTGGAGTCAGGAAGTGCTGGGTTCAAGTTCTATCTCCAGCATAAAATAGCTCTACCATAGGCAAATTACTTAACCTCTGTAGTGGCTAAGTCAACTCCCTAAGACTATAAATTACAGAGATGCCGCATTGGTGGCGTCAAACTCAAATAGAAATGGATCCCTTTGGGCCATGTATTGACTTAGAAAACTACAAATTAACATTATCTGTGTTGTATTGTATTTTTGTTTATTTTGTGAAACATTTCTGAATTACGTTTTAGTCTGGTTCAGCCAGTGTTTGACACCCCTGCCCTACACCAATGAAATCACCAGTCCGGACCAAAAAGTACTTTGGATAGCTCTAGGCAACTCTCAGATTGATGTGTTGCATTACTTTAAAGAAAAACAGGTTGAGGAAAGGCTGGACCCTCTCTCTATCTCATCCTGTCCTTGTGGAGACTTGCTCTTTGCCTTGACTGAAAACATATAGAGTTGATGAGGCACCTACCTCACAGTAGCCCTGGGAGACTGTTAGTCTAAGTACTGCTACCAGCTCCTAACTTCCTCCATTTTATAGATGAGACAACTATGCTTAAGGGACTTACCCAAGGTCACCCAGTTAAGTAAACTGAGCTGGAGCTCATGCCCAGGTCTCCTGACGTCAAGTACAAGTGCCTCTCATGATCAATCCACGTTTAATGCACCAAAGCAGTAATTTGCCAAATGGTTCCTTCGTGGTCAAGGAACATTCATGCTGTCTCCAAATATACCTTAATCCTTTCCAGTCCATGCTTGGGAAGAATGTGGCGATGCCATTGACAGTGGCACCATTTTACTTTCTTATAATGATTGAGACCAACATAATGTGTAGTAGAAATTGTGCTGGATTTAAAGCCAGAGGTCCTGGGATCAAGTCACACTTAGTACGTGTGTAACCTTGGACAATCACTTTCCAAATCTGGGCCTCAATCTCCTCCTCTGTGAGATGAGGGAGATGGCTAGAATAATATGACCTCCAAGGTCCCTTCCAGTTCTAAATTGTAAGTTCTAGATGACTTCTTGTTCTATTTCTAGTTCTAGTTCTAAGTTCTAGTCCTTTCTTGACTAATCTAGACCTCAATTTCCTCCCTCATCTGCAAAACAAAGGAGTTGGCTTAGATGTGTTTGAAGGTCCCTTATGGCTCTCAATCTATACTCTATGAACAATCGATACGACAGAACCGAAGACCTTGCCTTTTGATCCACGAGCAGTCGATGGGCTGCTTCAATGTCAGGAGCCATGAAACGATCTTTGATCCAAGGCCTAGAGGGAAGAAAGACTACGGTGTGTTAATCATGATAATAATAATAAGAGTAATAATGGAATCATGATAGCACTTGAAAGTTTGCAAAGCACTGTAAACGTGTTATCTCATCTCCTCCCCACAACAGCCTTGGGAGGAAGGTCAAACATTGTCCAAACATTAACCGCTGCCGTGCTTGATGGTTTTTAACCTCCAGCAAAGTGTTTGTTTGACTTTACCTCACAACAGAGCGCACGAGGTCATAGACCTTCTCCAATGGAGTGGTTGTTTTCAGGGGGCGTAGAAACTCGATGCCCTGACAGGCGGCGAGAAGCTCAATGGCCAACACTAGAGGACAAAATTGTGGAAAGTGGGATGGCGGTTTTTACAAAGCTCAACTCAAGGATATATTGTTACATTTTCACAAACCCTGAAGTCAGGGTTCATCATTAGTCAAGTGAAGTTAAGAAGGATTGATGAAGCACCTATTATGTGCTTAAACCCTGTTCGCCTCAGTTTCCTCATCTGTCAAATAAGCTGCAGAAGGAAAGAGCAAACCACTCCAGCATCTCTGCCAAGAAAACCCCAAATGGGGTCACCAAGAGTCAGGCACGACTGAAAGGACTGAACAACACATGAAGTCCTGGGGGTTCCAAGAAAAAGAAAACTGGGCTCTGCTCTCAAAAAACTTACATACGAATGGGGGAGGTAACATGCCAACAACTATACACTAACAAGATATATGCAGAATAAAGTGGAGATAATCCCAGAGGGAAGGCATAGCTTTAGGGGGACTCATGAAAGGCTTCTTGTGGAAGGTGGACTTAAAGGGAGCCAGGGAAGCTGAGCATTTCCTGTTTCATACATTTCATTTGTCCAGCCTCTAGCTGTGTGACCTACTCCAAGTTATACCCCTCTGGCCCCCCTTAGCTCCAATGTGTGCTGTCTCCCATCCCCCTCCGCCCATTAGACTGTGAGCTCTTTGAGGGCTGGGGCTGTCTTCTTATTAATTGTACCCCTGGCGCTTGGCACAGCGCTCAGCACACAGTAGGTTGTATAACAAACTTAATAAATGTTGATTAGATTGGATTTATTGGAATTCGGTGCTCTACATAGGATAATAGGAATCAGAGCTGAAGGGGACCTTGAAGATCATAATTCTGAGAAAACCCTTTAATTTTACAGATGATGAAACCAAGATCCAGAGAAAAGGACTTGGGATCATAGAGTCCTAAGGGTGGAGTTGGAGAAGGGACTCCAGAAGCTATCTCGTTGAAACGCCCCCCCCCATCCCACCATTTTACAGATGAGCAAGGTAAGGCCCAGAGAGGGTAAGGGATCTGCTCACAGTCACCTAGATAGTAAAGAAGCAAAGAGAAGATGGCACTCAGTCTGTCTCAGAACATAGTAGACCATGCTTGCTCACTGTTTTAACCTCCATATTCCCATCAGTTTATTGGCCACATCTAAAAAGTCTGAAAGGCAGTGGACAGAGAGTTAGTTGGCCCTGAAGACCTGGGTTCCAGTCTTGCCTTTGTCCCAAGTTGGCTGTGTGACCTTGGGTGCTTTGGGCATCTCTCTGAGACTAAAAGTTGCGGAGAAGGAGCCAACCTGTCCTGGTAGAGGGAGTTTCTTCTCCTGGGAGTTCCTGGCACCAATGAAATCACTGGTTCGGTCCCTATATCCCTGACTATACAGTCAGATGAAGTAAAGAGAATTGGGATAGTCACCTAGAAAGACCAAGCAGTCCCATTCTGAGAGCTCATAGCTTCGTTCCTCTGCATTTATCCAATCTAACCAATTGACCTGGAGTCACCAATCAAGTCTAACTAGGGATCACTTGATGCTCTCTTTCACCGATAGTTTGGATGGATGGAACACTGGATTAGGAGACTGGACCTCTGCTTCGAACTGGGCCTATGACCTCGACGAGACACACATAGTCTCTGAGCTGCCCTCTCTTCTTCTGTGACAGGAGGGTGTGGGATTGGCTGTTCTCCAGGGACCATCACAGCTTTACAATGATCTGACCTCCTCCCCAGAGTTATTCCCTTTTATTTGACAGGGAAAAGGGGGGAGGTTAAGAAGAGGATCATTCTATTCTGCATAGCTCAGGATGACTGGGGGTATCCACTGGAGTTTAAGTGCCTTGTGAATGTAAGGGCAGACAGAGATGGCATGGCTTCCCAAATCAATTTGGGAGGGGCTGGAAAACTGGAGAACGACAATAAAATTAGGATCATAACCAAAATATTTCAAGAAAGCACATTAAAATCACAAGAATCTACACTAGGTACGGAGTTACAGAATCATAGATTTAGAGCTGGAAGGACCTTAGAGGTCACTGAGCCCAGCCCTCTCATTTTATGTAGCAATTAAAGGTTTACAGAGGAATTTACAAATATTATCTCATTTAATCCTCCCAGAAGCCCTGGGAAGCAGGTATTATTATTATTGTTATCCCCATTTTACAGATGAGGAAACTGAGGCTTAGAGAGGGAAATGACTTGTCCAAGGTCACACAATTAGAAAGAAGCAGAAATGGGAATCTGAACCCAGATCTTCAGGCTCTAAACCCAAGCCTCTTTTCACTTGGTAGAACAGTTTGCTGAATGAGTCTTACAAAATCAGCAGCGTCACCTTGTTCCACATGTTCGATAACTCTGAGGGCTTTTCTCGCAGCCCAGCCTCCCATGGAGACGTGATCTTCTGTAGCGGCACTGGTTGAGAGAGAATCCACCGAGGAGGGATGGCACAGGCCTTTATTCTCTGAAACTATAAAAGTCCAAGGTGAATAAATTAGATACCACTCACCCTGAGTGCCAGGCCTGGAATCAGGAAGACCTGGGTTCAAATCTGGCCTCAGACACCTTGAAGCTGTGTGACCCTGGGCAAGTCACATGACCCTGTTTGCTTCAGTTTCCTCATCTGTAAAATGACCTGGAGAAAGAAATAGCAAACCACTCCAGCGTCTTTGCCAAGAAACCTCCCAATGGGGTCATGGAGTGTTGGATGTGACTGAAAAGACTGAATAAAACACCCCTGACAAATGAGGGGGTTAAAGGAAGTTCTGAAGCCCTAGCCTCCTAGTATCTAGGTCATAATTCTGCCTTCAGACAGATGTTCCCCTGAGATTTTGGTTCCTAGCACCAGGGTACTCATTGCTCAAAGGGATTTTAGAAGAAAAAAAAGGAATCCTATATTTTATGCACAATGTAAGAAAATCTAGACGACAGACCTCAAGAGGGACAGTGACACATTTAGAAGATTGCAGGCTCCTTGGGGGCAGAGCCTGCTTTACTTTTGTCTTTGTATTCTTAGAGCCTAGAACATCTCCTGGCACATAGTAGGTGCTTAGTAAATGCTTCTTGATGGACAAACTGGAGTGGTACAGAATAACAGAGGTTCAGAGAAGGAAAAGAACTTGGGCATCATCTCATCTAATCTCTTCTACATCATCACTAATAGATGGTTGTTCAGCTTCTTCTTGAATATTGCTGATGATGGGGAGCTCATTATTTCATGAAGCAGCCTGCCTATTCTATTTTCAGATAGTTCAAATGATGAAAAAGTCCATCTTCTACCAAGCTGAAATCTACTTCCTCATCAATTCCATTGATTGGTCCTAGTTTTCCCCTCTAGTGCCAAACAAACTAAATCTTGGCAGAGTTATCTTGCTTTTACGAGGGACGGTCAGATCTTCATGGGATAATACATGCCCAGGATGGAGTAGAAGAAGAAAAGTGGCATTGAGTGCATGATCTATTACAAGCTGGGGACATTTAGCCTGGAGGTAAGGAGACAGAAAGGAGACACTCAGGCACTGTCCAACAGAACAGGAAATAGACTTCTGTGTTCCTTTAAAAGAATTTTGAAAGACTGTAAGCTACATGAGGACAGGGAGAGCTTCACTTTTAATTTCTGTTTCCTTGGTCTGGCAAAGAGTAGGAGAATGAATGAAGCAGCTTTTGGTAAGTGCTTACTATGGGTAAAGGCACTGTGCTTTATGCGTGTTATTGAATGATTGATTGGTTACTTAAACAAGAACCAAAGGGTGGAAATTACAAGAAAGATTTCAGCTCAAGACATAGGAGGATCTTCCCAACAACCGTTGTTGTTCTGTAGTTCAACTGCGTCTGACTCTTTGTGACCCCATGGACCCTACCATCCATGGGGTTTTCTTGCAAAGGTATAGGAGTGGTTCGCCATTTCCTTCACTGAATTAAGGCAAACAGAGGTTAAGTGACTTACCCAGGGTCATATAGCTGTGAGTGTCTAGGACTGGATTTGATCTCAGGTCTTCCTGACTACAGCCCCAGAGCTCTATTCACTGAGCCACCTAGTTCAGCAATTAGAACTGTCCACCAATGGTAATGAAGTAATGAGCTCCCTGACCCTGGAAATATTCAAGAATAAGTTGGATTACCACCTGTCAGGGATGTTGCAGAGTGGACCATGGGATCATGGATCTACAGGTAGTAGGGAGCTTAAGAGTCCTAGTTTGACCTTTTCATTTTACAGATGGGGAAACTGAGGCTAAGAGCGTCTAAGTGACTTGACAAGGTCACACAGGTAGTAAGGGACCGAGATAGCATTAGTAGTGAATGACAAGTAATATGGAGGAGAGTCATGGATTGTCTGCTCAGAGAGATGGCATATTTAGTATGTCATGAAGCTGGTGGACAGAAGGTTGATTTGGAGTCAGAAAGAACTGAGCTTGGATCCTGCCTCAGGCACTTCCTACCTGTGTGATCCTGAGCAGGTCACTTCAGCTCTGCTTGCCTCAGTTTCCTCATCTACAAATTGGAGAAGGCAATGGCAAACCATTCCAGTATCTCCACCAAGTAATCCCTAATGGGGTCACAATGAATTGGACATAACTGAACAACAACAACTAGGGTCACACAGCTAGTACATGTCTGGGGCAAGATTTGACCTTAGGTCTTCCAGACTCCGGGCCCAGTGCTCTATCCCCTGAGCTAGTCTCTTTGCCTCAGTTTCCTCATTTGTAAAATAAGTTGGAAAAGAAAATATATCTGGCCTTGTAACCAAAGCACAAGAAGAATTCTTCAGTAACAGAATGCAACAGCCCTGAGGGATGGAAGAGAAGGGAATTTCCAGGATTGCCCCAGGGGATGTGGCAGTGCTTGGAATTAAGGCTTGTGACTTTGTCACCCTTGACATTTTTCAGGAGGAATTCTCGTTAACAACCCACCATGGGAACAATTTGCTTCTTGAGAACTCTACTACTTGTTATTTTTGTTGGGTTGTTTTCAATGTTTTCTGACTCTTCATGACCCTATTTGAGGTTTTCTTGGCAAAGATCCTGGAGTGGTTTGCCATTTTACAGATGAGGACATGGAGGCAAACAGAGTTAAGTGACTTGCCTAGGATCCCACAGCTAGTAAGTATCTGAGACCAGATTTGAACTCAGGGAGATGAGTCTTCCTGACTCCAGGCCTGGCGCTCTATGCACTATGGCGCCACCTAGTGGCCCAGGACTCTAGTATACCTATTCTCTTTTTTATGAACTCTTTGACCAACATATGCATTTAAGGAAAGCAACTCTGTCTATTCTTGCTGGTAGGACCCAGTCTGTCCAATCCACTCAAATGGTTTTCAAACCATCATGAGGCATCCTTGAATAGGGGATAGGATAGGATACTGGACTTGGGAGTTATGAAGACCTGGGTTCAAATACTGCCTCAGACACTTACTAGCTCTGTGACCCTGGTTAAATCCATTGCTGTTCATTCGTTTCAGTCATGTCTGACTCTTCATGACTCCATTTGGGGTTATCTTGGCAAAGTTACTGGAGTGGTTCGCCATTTCCTTCTCCAGCTCATTTGACAGATGAGGAACTGAGGCAAACAGAGTTAAATGACTTGCCCAGAGTCACACAGCGAGTAAATGTCTGAGGTTGGATTTGAATCATGAAGAGGAGCTACTTTAAAGAAGCATTTATTAGGCACTTTCCATGTTCAATGGACTGTCCAATACGCTGGGGACACAAAGGTAGACAAGGCGTTGGAAAGAACACCAACTTTGCAGTTGGAGGACATGGGTTCAAACGTTGCCTTACTACCTATGTGGCCTTGGGCAGACGTCTTCGTGTCTTTTGTCGTCAGTATCCACATAAGGGCCTCAGAGGTCCCTATAAACTCTAAATCTATAATCTTGTGATCCTATGAAGATAGTGGGAGGTGCATATTTTGAGGGAAGGATGAGTTGAGCTCTTGACATATTGTGGTGAACATGCCAACAGGACGTCCAATCAACAAATCGCCAAGCATTTGATAAGCGCCTATTATGAGGCAGACCCTGTGCTCAGTTCTGGGGGTACAAAGACAGAGAGAAAACAGTTTCTGTCCTTCAGGACTTTATATTCTATCTAAGTGGAATTCAAATCTGGCCTCAGACACTAGTTGTGTGACCCTGGGCAAGTCACTTAACCTTGTTTGCCTCAGTTTCCTCATTTGTCAAATGAGCTGGAGAAGGAAATGGCAAACCACTCCAGTATCTTTGCCAAGAAAACTCCAAATGGGGTCAGAGAGAGTTGGACATGATGGAAATGACTGAACAACACCATCAGATGGAAAGGTCCAGGAGGCATTTGGAAAAAAAGTGAGATTAGCATTCTAGAAAGAGGTTGGGGTGGAGATATAAAGTAAAGAGTTATTTACATAAGTGAACATTGGGAGATATGGATGTGAAGGTCATGAAGGGAGAGAGCAGAGTGAAAAAACAAAGGTCAAGGATATAATCTTGGGAAGGAGAGGAAGTCTTGTGTTTAAGATTAGTCTGGTAAGAAGTCTGGAAGGTCAGAAGGACAGGCATTGAAAAGTGGCAGAGAGGCCAATCTTGAAGTGGGTTCAAATCAGTGAATGACCAGAGGGATGTGACTGGGTAAGGAGAGGGGGAAGACTGGAGCAAGGCTGAGAGCCTGAGAGGAGTAGGAAGGAGGAAACAAGAGACTGAAGGGTGGGAAAAGGGGAAAGAAGTTCACATGGTTCACATTTCTATGATAATAATAACACCTAAAATATATATTATTATTATATTAATTAATAATATCAACAGAGAAATAATATTAATATATTAGTTATAAAATTAGATTGATTGTTAATATTGTTGTGGTAATTATTGTAATTTGAAATTATATTACTTGGTTAATAATGTATTATTATATATTATATGTTATAACAGCTAACATGTTATTGTATTTATTATATTACATATGTTACAATAGATCACACACAAACACATATATTTGTGTGTGAGCTACATGCAAATGTATATATGTATATGTGTGTATCTCCCTCTCTCGTTTTATTTATATATGTTATACATAATATATGAATATATCACAATATATAATTTATATATGTAATATATGTTGTACACAATACATAAACATATCACAATATGTAATTTATATAAATACACAATATTATAACATAAATATAATAAAACATGATTTCATAAATAAAATATTATATTATAAATAATATATAATGAAATTTATATATAAAATTTAGAGAAAGAAACAAGGAGAGAGAGCTTTAGAGCTTACAATACATTTTAAACACATGATTTCAAAGCACCTGGAGCTTTACCAGGCATATTCCTTATGACCACATCAGGGAGTATTGCAAATATTTGCACACTGCCTTAGCCTTTTCTTTGTACTTATCACCTTATACCTCCTAACAGAGTTGTTTGTGTACACATCTCCCCCGACCCCAGCTCCCCCAGATTAGATCATAGATTTAGAGCTGAAAAAGAACTTAGGAGACTTAACGCAGTCCAACTCCCTCCATTTACAGAAGGGGAAACTGAGGCCCAGAGTGGTGAACTGCCTTGCCCAGGGTTGCGTAGCTGGTGCGTATCAGAGGGAGGTTTGAACCCAGATTTTCCTGACTCCAAACCCAGTGATGCATCCCTCATATCATAGCACCACTCTAAGTTTTTAAGTTCTTCAGAGGGTCTGTGCTATATCCGTCCCTGTGTCTCTAGCACAGCACCTTGAACACTGTAGGTGCTTAATAAGGCCTGCTGAATGGCTGAAGAACTTTCTAATAACTGGAGTTAGCCATCAATGGAATGGACTGCCTCATGAGGTAGGGAGTTCCCTGTCATTGGTGGTGTTCAAGCAGAAGCTAGATGGCCACTAGTTAGGGCCACTAGTTATAGTTGCAAATATAAATGTTAGCTATTACTATGCCGCTAGGTGCCATAGTGGGTGCTGGGCCCAAACTCAGGAAGACCTGAGTTCAAATCTAGACATTTACTAGTTGAGTGACCCTGGGCAAGTCACTTAACTTCTGCCTCAGTTTCCTCAACTGTAAAACAGGGAATCATTATAGCAGGGTTTTTTTTTAAGGAAATTGGGGTTAAGTGACTTGCCCAGGGTCACACAGCTAGTATCAAGCATTTGGTCTGAGGCTAGATTTGAACTTAGGTCCTCCTGACTTTAAGGCCGGTGCTCTATCCACTGCGCCACCTAGCCGCCCCCTCTCATAGGGTTGTGAGGATCAAATGAGATAATATTTGTAGAGTGCTTAGCACAGTGTCTGGCAACGCAGCAAGGGCTTAATTAATGCCTGTTCTCTTCCCTCCCCTTCCCTCCCTTCCCTTCCCCTCCCCTCCCCTCCCTTCCCCTCCCGCCCCGCCCCCGTTCCGCCCCCTCCCCGCCCCTCCGCTCTCCTCTCTTCCTTCTGCTAACTGATCCTCCTAGGACATGACTTCACCATCCTGACCCTCCCTCCACCTCCAGACACACATGGGCTTGTCCAGGTCTCCCTTTCCCTAATGTGATCTGGCCAGGGCAGGGACCCGGGGAAATGGCTCTTTTCCCATGTGCTGGCCCCAGAGGAGCAGGGTTCTTACCCAGAGCCGCTGCTGTGCAGTGAGCAATCATGAATCCAGAATTGAGGCCCCCTTCAGCCACCAGGAACGCAGGCAACTCACTGAGTGACGGGTTGCACAGTCTTTCGATTCTCCGCTCACTGATGGCAGCGAGTTCATGGACACCTATGGCCAAGTAGTCTAGAGCCTAAGGAAATATCTCTGCTGAGTTATTTTGTCATTTTGTTTACTCTTAATGAGTGGGGAAAGAAAGAATGCTCAAGACTTACTTTTGCTGGGTATTCTCCGTGGAAATTCCCTCCAGAAATGGTCTCTCCTCTTTTGGCAAAAACCATCTTTTTTTCAGGCAGGTCAAGGCTTGGCTACAATAGTAGAGTAGACTTTGAAAAGTAGGCTTCCAGGCTCATTCGGAGAGCGAGAGTGAGGAATGCCCTTGGCTGGGCTCATGTGAGTGCAAGCAAGCATGTACAATTCTCTTTCCATAAGCCGCCAAGGAGGCAGTTAGGCGGCACACTAGGCCTGGAGTCAGGCAGACCTGCGTTCAAACGTGGCCTTACTGGCTTACTAGCTGTGTGACCCTGAACAAGTCACTTTACTTCTTTTTTTTTTTGCCTCAATTGCCTCATCTGTAAAATGGGGATAATAATAGACCTTACCTCCCAGGGTTGTTGTGAAGTGCTAAGGTTTCATATGTGTGTATATATGGATGGATGGATGTGTGCATGTATGCATGTATGTGTGTGCATATAGGTATATGTATATATATACTGTATATGCACATGTGCATGTGCATGTGTGTATGTGAGTATAGATGTGTGTATAGACCTACATATATAGTTATATATTTATAATTTTATATATTATATTTATATATTATATTTATAGTTATATTTATAAATAAATTACATACATGTAAATACTAGTGGTTATTATTATTATTATTAGAGCAAAGAAAGACATCAGCACTAATTTTGGACTGATCCTGAGGTCTAATAAGTGTAGAGAGCCCCCCATGAACACCTTGTACCAATCTAAGTCAACCATGAGTCCATAAATTCTAGTCTTATGGGATACCAAGAAAAGAAATGACGTGTAAGAGGTCACAGCCAGTGGATGTTGGGGGCAAAGACTGACCCCAGGTCTTTTAGACTCTGAGAGCAGCTCTCTCTCCACTACACCACAGTGGCCTCTCTGTGGTCAATAATAAAAAGCTGCCACGTAGTAGGGCTCTGTGGCTTACAAAGTGTGGTGTAATGGGAAGAACACTGAGGTTGTTATCAGAGGATCTGGGTTCAAATCTTGCCTCTCATTTACTAGCTGTGTGGTCTTGGGCAAGTCACATCTCCTTGGGCCTCAGTTTCCTCAGCTATAAAATGATATGGTTGAATTAAAGAGCCTCTGAGGTTCTTTCCAGTTCTAGATGTGTGATTCTGAGAGCTTTATGTACATTGTCTCAATAAGTGTTATTACACCCATATTACAACTAAGGCATTTGAGGGTCAGGGAGATAAAGCAAAATGAATTAGCTAGTAAGTATCAGAGATGAGATTTGAACCCAGGTCCTCCTGACCGCAAGTCAGACCACATTGCTTCTCAAAAACCCGGACGCCACAAACCGTGTGTGTGCCAGAACCAGGAACTCACTAATGGCATGAGTGGGTCACAATGCCATTTCTTCCCTTCCCATTAGAAGCATTTCTCAAGCGTGATCCTTGGCTTTCTCCCTAGCTCCCCTAGACATTCCCTGTGGGACCCTGGAAAAGTCACTGTAACTCCCCACGCCTGTTTCCTCATCTGTAAAGTGGGGATCATAGCATGTAGGTCTAGAATTGGCAGTGACCCCAAAGGTCACATAGTTCAACCCCCTCATTTTATAAATGAAGAAATTGGGGCCCCAAAAGGTAAATGACCTTCCCAGGATCTTACTGGGTTGTTAGGAAAGTCAAATGAGATCATGTCTATGGGAGCTCTTTCTAACATAAGAGTGCTAGATACCCATAAGCAACCATTATTGTTAGTGGTTTTGTAAGACTTTAGGTTGCATTAGCACAGGATTACCTCGATGGCAAGGGCGGTCTCTTTGCCTTTCTTTGTACCCTCAGAGCTTAGCATAATACCTGGCAGATAGTAAGCACTTGATAAAGGATTGTTGACCCAACTGGCTGACAGGTGAATCGTTGGCCTATGCTAGTGAAAGGAGTGATCACACTGAGAGTTCCCTACGTGGATAAAATAACAGGTTCAGACAATCAATCAATAAACACTTAAATGCTTACTTGGTGCCAGGCACTGTCCTAAGTGCTAGAAAAACTACCTGAATGGATTTTTTTTTACTTTTCTTTTTGGGGAGAAGGGAAAGGAAAGAAACAAGCATTTATATGACATCTACTATGCACCAGGCTCTGTGCTAAGCACTTTACAAATATTATGTCATTGACAAAAAGAAAAGAAACCAAAATCATCATTATTGTTGCTAATAGTCACAAGTTGATACTATTTGCAAAATCCTCCTTGCCTAATTTCATAACAAATGTAGGAATAGTGATTCCATTTCATATTATTTCTCCCGTGGGCACTGGGGAGAGAAATATCCAATTAGACACCAAGCAAAAGTATTCAAATGATTGGTAGAGCTGCCCTGCTCTAAAGGCTGCAATGGTTGGCCAGCCCATATCCATTTCCTAGGCCCGGGGTGGGGTACCTTGGGCCCTAAGGCCTTCTAGGTTTTTTGACTGAATCCAAATTTTACAGAACAGACGTGCCCTTAAGGCCACAGGTTCTCCACCTCTGTCCTAGGTAGACATAAGAACTAAGATCTCACACATCTACTTTCCCTTAGTTCTGAGAAAAAAATTCCCTCTGCCAGACCAAGAATGGCTCCTTTCATGATGTAATTGCCAGACCACCCACTTTTACCTTAAGCCTAAAAACACCAAGTCAAAGAGAGCGTTAGATTTTTTTCTTTAATCCCTGGTCTCTCATGCAAAGCATCTATTGTGCAAAAGAACGTTCACTGAATATTTAACGACCACTAAAAAGCCAGATTGAATAATTAGCTGTTGCTGGACTCAGCACCAAGTCCTTGGAATCGTCAAATGGTTCAACATCAGAAAGGGGTATGGTTTTATCAGTGGAAATGACTGGAACCAAGAGGCATCACCATTGGCTCTACCACATACCCTAAGGGCCACACTTCCTTACCATCTGACTTGCAGCTGAAACCTCCCCTCTATGTGTGGTCTGTCCCGTCAGAATGAGAGTTCCTTGGGAAAGATTGTTCTTTTATTCTAAATTTGTAACCCCAGTACTAAGCACAACGCTTTGTACATAGTAAAGGCTTAATTGATGTTTGTTTCATTCATTCATTCATTCATTCATTCATGCAAACGTGCATTTGCACAGTCTATCTCCCTGCCTGAAATTCACATCTTTGTCATCTTGGCTCTTTTGGAGTGGTAATCTTCATCTAGGCCCTAGTTCAGGGGTTACCTCCTCCTTGAAGGCTTTCCTTCTCTCACTCTCTGCCCTCCAATCATGAAAGCTCACTTCCTCTTCAAAGTATTCCACATTTACTGTCTGTGCACATGCTATCTATAGACGCAAGCTATAGATACGCCAGACTCCCCAGAGGAAGCTCCTAGCGAGAAGGAGTAATAAGCCAAAAAAAAATAGGGATTTTTTGGGTCAGCATGAAAGATCATGTGAACCTTGAGCTTGCCCTACTATAAACTGAGGAAGGGGAGAGGGCTAAGAACTGGTGAGAATCAGAGATGGCTTCATGGAGAAGGTGACCCCTGAGCTGAGCCTTGAAGGAAGACAAGGCGAAGATGTAGAGGGAGCTTTGCACAGATTTTGTATTTACTCATGTTTTCATGTTATTTACCCCTAGTAGAATGTCAGCTCCTTGAGGGCAGGGTCTGTTTTGTTTTGGTCTTTATAGCCAAAACAACCAGCACAGTTCTTGGCACACTGTCGATCCTTAATGGGATCATAGACCAAAGCTGGATGGAAGTTCAGAGGTTACCTCATCTGATCCTTTAATTAGTCAATTAACATTTATTAAGTTCCTATCAGGTAAGGCACAGTAGAATGAACCTTGGATGTGGGGTCAAGAAGATCCCGAATTCAAATCTGGCCTCAGGCACTAGCTGTGTGACCCTGGGCAAGTCATTTCACCTCTGTCTGCCTCAGTTTCCTTAACTGCAAAATGGGAGTAATAATAGCACCTACTCCCCAAGATTGTTGGAGGAGGAGCTAATGAAGTAATAATTGTAAAGTGCTTAGCACATAGTAGGTGCTATATAAATGCTTATCTCCTTCTTCCCTTCCCCTACTATGTGCGGGACAATTGGGGCACAGAGACAAAAGTTCAATTGTCCTTCCTCCCAACAAGACTACATTCTAAAGGGGGAGACAATTTGCACCCCTATAGGTGCGAAGCAGATACAAGGCAAGACTGAGGTGACCGCAGGGGAGGCTTCCTTTAGAAGGGGATTTTTGAGCTCAGTCTTGAAGGGAATCAGGGATTCCAAAAGGTAAGGTGCTGAGGAGGGACAGCATTTTGGCCAGGAGATGGAGAGCTGAATGTGAGGAACACTGAGAAGGCCATTTTGGCAGGATAGAGCCACTGGTAGTGAGTCTGGAAAGGTAGATGGGGCCAGGTGGGACTAGAGTGTAAATGCCTTAAAGGCGGGGTCTGCTCCATTTTCCTTTGTTTCCCTAGGGCCTCACCCAACACCTGGCACATAGTAGGTATTTAATAAATGACTGTTGACTGACTGATAGAAGTAGAGCTGCAAGACAGTCACTAGGGCATAGGAAGCAAATTGGGGGCTCCAGTCGAGCTTAATGACATATAGATATCTCCACTGGGAATAATTTGTGCCAGTCATCCTTGGCATAAGTTGGCAATTCCAGCTGTGCAACCAAACAGGACATTAAACGTTCTCCTCCCTCCTCCTTATGGGGGAGACCCTGGAAGCCCCAGGGAAAGAACATTATGGCAGAGCCTTTCAGGAGAACTCAGACCAGTGGGCTGGGGGATAAACAGAGGACTTTAGCCCCTGGGTTGGCCTATCCTGTCCTTTTTCAAGAATACCAAATTGAAAGCAAGAGTGAGAGACAGTGAGAGACAAAGAGACAGAGACAGAGGGAGAGGCAGGGAGGCAAGAAGAAGAAGGAGACTGAGAAGAAGGAGAAGGAGAAGGAGGAGGAGGAGAAGGAGAAGGGGGAGAAGGAGGAGGAGAAATAGGAGGAGGAGGAGGAGGGGGGAGAGAGAGAGAGAGAGAGCACCAGAGAGCCAGAGAGGAAGGGAGGGAGTAGAGAAAGAGAGGGAGGAAGAGACAGAGATAGAAAGAGACAGGGAAAGAGAGGGAGGGAAGAGGGAGGAGAAAGGGAGAGGGAGAGAGAGAGAGAGAGAGAGAGAGAGAGAGAGAGAGAGAGAGAGAATATGAATATGGAGATTGGGCTACTCAGGGGACTGGTACTTTTCACAAAGCCTGCACTGTTTCCAAAAATATTTATGCCAGTCTGACTTGTGACTGACAGTGTTAACTCCTGGGAACCCAAGCCACCACGGGACATTTTGCAGAATTACTCTTGCAGTCCCTTTGTATGTCCAAGATGAAAAACAGTCCCCAGAGCAGAAATTCTACACCACTGAGGCAAGCAGAGAGCTCTTTTTGTGTGAGAATGGAAACTTCCTTGCCATTTTTCCATACAAGCTGAAAACCACCTACACTCTGAATCACCTGAAGTCTGTTTCAGAAATCAAGGCTCAGGATAAAACATTAAGTGATTTTAAAAAAAAATTCTAGCCACAGAAATCATGTTCAAAATTGGTACTAAAGGCCTTTTGTTAAATGCATCAGAACAACCCTGGGAAAATAAAGAAGCATTAAATTAATTTGTTCCATAAGTAGGCAGCTGCAGACAGACTCTAGCCACTGTGCTCTCTTGCTCCAGCCTTCACATTTTCATGACCTGCAGATCTTGTATCGGTGAGTGTTGCGGCCATCAATCAAGACACTTGGGACAGAAGTAGGGAAGTACTAAAGACATGTTGCCCTTTATTGTCAGCTCTCTATCAGCTGGCTCTACCATGCTGCTGCTTGGCCCCACAAGGCTGAACTAGGAGCAGTGGGTGAAAATTGGAGGGATGCAGATTTTGGCTTGTTGCAAAGAATAATAACAATTAACTCCTTCCCAAGGGATGCTGGCTTGCCTTGGAAAGTGGCAGATTTCAGGGGCAGCTAGATGGTACAGTAGATAAAGCACTGGTCCTGGAGTCAGGAGGAGCTGAGTTCAAATTCAACCTCAGACACTTACTACCTGTGTGACCCTGGACAAGTCACTTAACCCTGATTGCCTCCAAAAAAAAAAAGGAGTGGTCTCCTGTCTTCGGAGATCTTCCAGAGAAGAATGAATGACCCCTTGTCAGGGCATGTTGTTGGAGGGGAGTAGGGTGCTATACTACATGGTCTCTGAGATGTGGATAGAGAGCTGGCCTCAGAGGCCCAAAGACCTGGGTTCAAATCTTGCCTCTGACACATGCTGACAGTGTGACAGTGCCCCTACGCTATTCTCGAAGATGAAGTTTCAGAGAAGGTGCCCCCCGCCAGGAGTGGAAGGAGCTTTCTCACCTGGGAGTTTCCTGTACTGATGAAATCCCCATCTTCTATAGAAAGGCACCATGTTAGAGGAGGCACTGTGGCCTAATGGCCTCAGAACCAGCAAGATCTGGGTTCAAGTCCCACTTCTGATGACAAATACCACTACTACTACTACTACTACTACTACTACTATTACTACAACTACTACCGCTATTACTACTACTACAATAGTTAACATTTATACAGCTCCTACTACATGCAGGCACTGTGCTAAGCCCTTTACAAACACTATCACAACTCATCCTCACAACAGCCCTGTGAAATAGGTGCTGTTATATTATCCCCATTTTACAGTTGAGGAAACTGAGGCAGACACAGATGAAGGGGCTTGCCCAGAGGCAAGATTTAAAGCCAGGTCCTCATGACTGCAAGGCTGCCCCCCTATCCCCTGGGCTGTGATACCTCTTTTATTTTAAGATACACAACTAAAATATTAATTTTCCCCAGAGCCAAGACTCCCCAGAGCTGGTGAGCCATCAAAGGATACAGGGTTGTCTGTTGCACTGTTAATTTCTGTCGTGATGATGTCCTTCACAAAGGCTATTGTGTCGTTGGCCACACCATGGACCTAGAAGAAACGAAACACGGAATTAGGACCAACTGGCTCAAATAGAACTTCTTCCCCTCTCTGAAAACCAAGAATTCCTGAGGATATTTCAAAGCTCCCCCACCCTCAATTCAATCATTAAGCACCTATTATGACTATATTCCATTGCTTGTCTTCTCAATGAGAGGGATAGGGAGGGAGGGAGAGAATTTGGAACTAAATTTTTAAAATGAATCTTGAAAATTGTTTTTATGTGTTATTGGGGGAAAATAAAATACTAAATAAAAATTAAATTAAAAAAATAAAGCACCCATTATGGACTCTGGGCTAGACACTGGAAATACAAAGGGGGGAAACGATACAGTCCCTAGACTCAAGAGGCTTATAGTCTAAGAAGGGAGCTATGGCATATATACCAATAAGACTGAAATGAGGGAGAGGCTAGAGTCAGGCAAAGTGCTCTAGGAAAGTCTGAGCCCTGGCAATGAAGGCTAGCCAGTGGAAATCATGACATAATTGCAATTTGAAAATAGTTCAATTCAGGACAGCTAGGTGGTGCAGTGGATGGAGCACCGGCCCTGGATTCAGGAGGATCTGAGTTCAAATTTGGCCTCAGACACATAACACTTACTAGCTGTGTGACCCTGGGCAAGTCACTTAACTCCATTGCCTAGCCAAAAAAAAAAAAAGTTCAATTTGCTTCATAAATCCATGAGGACCTTGTCATCATACTACAGCATAAACCATTGGTGAAGGTGGGGTCATCTTTGATCCCACATCTAATACAAAAAGTGTCTCATTATAAATGCGATCTTGCTTTCAGGGAAGTCCTCAGACTCTACTCTTATGACCATGTCATTCCCATGCTCAAAAACTGATAGGGGCTCCCTATTGCCTTTAAATACACTCCTCAGGATGGCATTGGGAATCCTTCACAGTCTGGTTCCATCTAATTTCCAGGCTTCTTACATGTTCTTCCTCTCCATGGGCTCCATGGTGGAGCCAAACTGGCCCCTGGGTGTTCCCTAAACTTAGTATCCCATTTCCTCCCTCCATATTTTGGCCCATACTTTCACCTGTGCCTAAAATATACTCTCCATCTCCATTTTTAGAAATTTTGGCTTTCTTCCATATTCAATTGATATGCCCACTCCAGGGGGAAACCTCTGCTAACCCTCCCCCTGAGTGGTCCTTCTTTCCTCAAATAATTACAGTTATCTGTTTATATGCCCAGTCTTTTCTAGTTATATCTCTTCTCATGAGTGCTTAATTAATGTTTGTTCACTGACTGACTCTCCCAGTGGAATGCAAGCTCCTTGAGGGCAAAAATTCTCTCTCTCTCTTTCTCTCTCTGCCTCCCCCTTCCTTCCTTCTTTTCTAGTCCTTCCTTCCTCCCTTTCTTTCTCTTTCTTTCTCCCTCTTTCTTCCTTCCTTTCCCTTTCCTTTCCTTTCCCTTCCTTCTTCCCTTTTTCTTTTTTCTTTCTTTCTTCTTTTCTTTTTCTTTCTTTCCCCCTCCCTCTCTTCCTTTCTCCTTTCTCTTCCTTCCTTTCTTTCTCTTTCTTTTTTCTTTCCTCCTCCCTTTCTTCATTTCTTTTTCTTTCTTTTCTTCTTTCTTTCTCTCTTCCTTCCTTTCTCCTTTTATTTCCTTCCTCCCTTTCTCTCTTTCTTTTTTCTTTCTCTCTTTCTTCCTCCCTTTCTTATTTTTTCTTCTTTCTTTCCCCTCCCTCTCTTCCTTCCTTTCTCCCTTCCCTTCACTCCTCTCTCTTTTTTCTTTTTTCTTTCTCTCTTCCTTCCTCTTTCTTCTCTCTCTCTCTCTCTCTCTCTCTCTCTCTCTCTCTCTCTCTGTCTCCACATGTCAAACCTAAGTCCTCTGGACTCTGAGGCCATCTCTATATTTATTGTGCCACATTACGCCTCTTCCTGGCATTAAGTCAGGCAACATTCTTTACCAACCTGCATTTGCAAGACAATGGATTTCTATAAAATCCAGTACCTCTACTTAATGGTAGAGTAGAGGTGACTTGGTCCCATCTTCTCAATCTACCAAGGAATTTCTTAGCTAAACTGAATTTTTTTGGATTGCATGGATTGCTTTCACAAGAGAAGATGCCATCCCTATTTCCCCTTTAATCTATTTTGAAGAATAACACTACCAATCAGATGGCATTAGGATGGAAATGATGCATCTGAATTTTAAAATTGAAAAGATCAGTCATTCTCTGCCAGACATTAAAAGATTCCATTCTCTTACTAGGATGATCAGTTACTTTCTCAATTAGTTGGGCCAGGCAGTCTTTTAATTAGCCTTAATGGGGGTGTGAAAAATGAGTACACAAAGTCATTAGAGCAAGCCAAGCAATGGCCTGACCAGCAGAGGTGTTGAGCAAGGAAAAGGAAACATACCTTCACTGTATAAAATGCAAAATATGAGCAGGAAAAGTATTTAGGTTAAAAAAAAAAGCCCAGTGTTACGGAAGTCAGAGGAAGGAACAATTTTTTTTTTTAAGGGGAGTGAAGAGATTCCAAATCATGCCCATGCAAAGACCAAGTGAAAGAATTTGGGATTTTTTTGCCCAGGGCTAAGGTAGAGGGTGGGGACCGGGAATAAAGGCTATCGCCAAATATCTGAAGAGTTGTCATTTGCAAAGGGAATTGAACTTGTTCTGCTGTGCCCCAGAGAACAGGACTAGAACCAGGGGTGATTAATGCAATGAAAACAACGCTGGATTTGACATTATAGGATCTGGGTTCAAATCCTGCCTCTGACACCATCCTTGTGTGATCTTAGCAAGTCACACTCCCCCTCTGAGACTCAGTTTCCTTGTCCGTAAAATGAGGCAGTTGGATTAGATGGCTTCTGAGGACCCTTCCAAGTCTAAATCTATGCTTGTAGGACTTGTAGACATCAAAAATCCATTCCAGAGCTAAATATATGATTCCATGATTCTTTGACCTCTAAGAATAGGTTTTGATGGCTCAGGATGAGTGTAAATAGTAATTGTTTTCTTTTCTGGCCAGAAACTCTGAAAGTCTCCCACTCTCAGATTAATTCTTTTGGGAAGACAAACCAGGCCATCTTTTGTCTCAGTTCTATCCTACCCTTAAATCACTGAATGGGTGTTGCCTCAGACAAACTGGGACCTGGGAAAGACCTTAACTTAAAAAGACCAGGGTCTTGATCCATGTCTTGCCACTGGACTCAGGTGACTCTTGAGGAGAGAGTGAGGCTGATGACTTTGTACAGCTCTGCCTCACTTAAATCCAATTCACCTGCAAGTCATAACATCACCTTCCTGATGTCATCGGTCCTCTTCGAGAATGAAGGACAAACAGCAACAATGACAATGACCTCTAAGGTCTTGTCAGCTACAGACCTATGACCCTGTGATTAGGTTTCAGCTGAACCTAAGCAAAATTTTCCTAATAATCAGTTAGTCACACAGAACAAGCCATGACAAAGGAAGGGTAAGGAGGAGCCCATTACACAGTATCTCTCTTGCTTTTTCTTCCAATCGCTCTCTTTTTCAAGCTTCCAGAAAATATGTTAGGTTCACCTGTGGACAGCAGCGCATCGTGTAGGCGTCCTGTACTCGGTCACAAAATCTGTGGCTTTCTGCAAGAGCGAAAGAGAGTGTGAGACAGAGGGAGGCGTATCCTTATACGCCGATGTTCCTCCCTGACTCCGACAGCTAACCAGACACACATACGTTTCCTCCCAGAGAATCTCCCACCTGCTATTTCCGAGGGGTGGTGATCAGAATCCAGGAGGGATCGAAACCGGAAGGCGACTTCCATTTGCCCCCGGTGAGGACGCAGGGCGTGGATGTCTGGAATTAAAGAAGATAAAAGACCCTGAGACCTTCGTTTTCCTTCAGAGTGAGGCTGTACTGGGTCAGACCCATTGCCCTGCTATAGTATAAAGAGCTCAGGAGGTGTAGATAGAAATCCTGGGGTCAGTCTAAGACCTGATGCTCAATAGCCCAGTGACTGTGGGCAAAGCGTCTGATCTCTCTAAGCCTGGAGTACAAAATGGGGATAATATAATAATATTTATAATTTATAATAATTTATAATTTATTTGTCTAATTTAGAAATGCTATTGTATTTATATTATATATAAAATATATGTATATATTATATAATTTATAATAGATATTATTATAAATTATAATATAATTTATAATTTATGATAATACTTATCACAAAGAAAGTGCTATCATAACTGCAAAATGCCATATAAATGTGAGGTGCTATTATTAATAATATTAGTATTAATTAAAATGATGCTCCCTGATATCTGCCAAGGGATGCTTTATGGGAAGGTGTGACTGTTTTCCCTGAGGTCCCAGATGAGGCTTCCTTACCCAGGGGTTCCCTATACCAATGAAATCACGAGTCTCTGGCTATCCTCCAGGCCTGGATACTCATGTTCATCTCTTGGCTTCCCTGGCTGCTTCCAGGACCCAGCTACAATCTCACCTTCTACTGGAAGTCTTTCTTAACCTTTCTTAATTCGAGTACTCTGTTCCTCATTTCCTATTTATCCTATATATAGCTTTTTGAGTACATATTTGTTATCTTCCCCATTAGATTTTAAGCTCCTTGAGGTCCAGGACTGTCTTTTGTCTCTTTTTGTATCCCTATCACTTAGCATAATGCCAGGCACTTAATAAGTGTTTACTGATTGACTAACTGATTATGCCTGTCTGTAAACAAGCACGTCTCTGGCTAAAACACAAGAGGATTTAAGGATGCCCATCACCAGTCCTCCTCACTTTAGTTTCCATCTTAATTCTGTTTCCAAGAGAAGCAGCCATAAAAGTGATAGTCCAAGCAAGCCCAGCTCGCCCTGAATTGCAGCTTGATTTTGTGCTGTCCAACACGGGCGGGGCCGGCATTGTTCTATACTTGGAGGTGCCATCATTTTCTCAGTCACCCGAGATCACAACCTAGCAGTCATCCTAAGCTCAGTCCTCCTCATTCCACATATCCAGTTGATGGCCGAGTCTTTTCAATTCTGCTTCTCCATTTTTCACATCCACTACTCACAGGAGCATCTCTCATATCCACACCCTTTTCTCTATTCACCAAATTAGTTCAGGCTTCATCACTTCTTGCCTAGCTGATTGTGGCAGTCCTAAGTGGCCTTCCTGCCTCTAGCCTCTCCATTCTCAACAGGTGCCATATTAATATTCCTAAGGCACGGGTCTGCCCCTGCCATTCCCTGCTCAAGAAACATCAGCAGCCCCCTATTGCCTATGGATAAAAAACAAAGTCCTCTGTCTAGCTCCAGGGCATCAACCCAGGCTCACACCTCCAGACCTCAGTTTAGCAGAGGGCGGTCCCCATGCTTTGCCTTGTCACCCCTGCCTCTTGGAATCCTGGAGGCTCAGTTCAAGGGCTACTTCTAAGAAGAGGTTTCTGGACGGGCTGTCTCCTAGACCTGGAATGCACATCTTTCTCATCTAAGGATTTTCTTAGAATCCCAAGCTTTTTTCATAACCAAGCACAAACTCCTCTTAAATGAAGATTATCCCCCTTACACACACACACACACACACACACACACACACACACCCCACCTTGTGTTTACTTCAAAAACACTTTATATATCCATAATAACTTGTATCTTGTTTCTCTTCAGACTATAAACTCCTTCAGAGTAGGGATTTTTTCCACGTTTGTCTTTGTATCCCTAGCATCCAGCACAGTGCCAGGTACACAGTAGGTGTTTACTAAATGCTTGTTGATTAATCAATTGATTGATGTTGTATTCCCCCAGGAGAACATAAGCTCCTTGAGGGCAGGCACAATTTTAGTTTTCGCCTTTGTACACTCTGCCCCTTAGCACAATATCTTGTACGCAGCAGACACTTAATGAAAGCTTGTTGAAATGAATGCTGGGAAGGACAAAAGGAGATGAAGCCTTTTACTGACATATCAAGAGTCCAGGGGAAGCAAATTCCAGCCCCCTCTGACTACACGGATCACAAGCAGGCCAGCTAAAGAGGAATGCTGGAGGAGGTGGAATTCCTCAAGGGGATCACTGGTCATTCCATCTGTGCTCTTCTCTTTTCCATATAGTGGACGGGACCTGATCTAATCAGACCATAAATGTTAACCTCCTCATGAGACTAACAAATCTCCCTGTTTTTGTACTGACTGTGTGAAGTAATGCTTCCTTTCATCTTTCTTTTTTTCTCTTTTGCAAGGCAGTCAGGGTTAAGTGACTGGCCCAGGGTCATACAGCTAGTAAGCATCAAGTGTCTGAGGTCAGATTTGAACCCAGGTCCTCCTGATTCCAGGGCCTGTGCTTCATCTTTCTTCAATTCATCAAGCAGAAAGCTCATAGGCTTATAACTCTGGGGATAGAAGGGATCTAGGAATCAGTCATTTTACAGATGAGGAAACTGAGGCCTAAGGAGGTCAAGTGACTTGGCCATGGTCACATGGGTAGTAACATGGCAGTGCCAGATCCTCTGGCTCTAGTTTGGGGATCTGATGCCAAAAAAAATCCATCTTTACCCCAAGCATCCCCTCCTGATTTGAGGAATGCTGGTCCCCATGCTTTCTCCACCACTAATCCCTGAATTGTCCAGTTCCTGTTGGCTGGCCCAGCCCCAAGAGGAGGCAGCACGGATACCGACCTGTATCGAAGGCTTTGGTGGTGCCCTTCAGCACTTCCAAGGTCAGAGCAGCCACGATGTCAGCTTGCCTCGCGATGGCACTCGCTCTTTCAACGGCTTCGCAACCCAGGGACGTGATCATTTGGGTCCCATTGATGAGAGCCAGACCCTTGGGGGACAGAGAGAGAGAGAGACACGGGGACCCAACTGCTCTAAGCACGGTGGTATATAGTGGAGAGCGCCCAAAGTTGGAATTGGACGGTCCTAGGTTCAAATCCTGACTCTTCCATTTTCTACCTGGGCACTTTGGGCAAGCTAAATAACCTCCCTGGTTGGACTAGATGACGATCAAGGTCCTTTCAGATTCTGAGTCAATGCTCACTTTATTTCATCTATTTTTCTACCAGATTCTTCACCTTTGACTCAGCATAGAGCTGTCAACTTAGTGTTAGAATTTTTCGGTTGATTAGTCATATCTAACTCTTTGTGACCCCATTTGGCGTTTTCTTGGCAAAGAGATTCCTTCTCCAGCTCATTTTACAGAAAAGAAAACTGAGGCAAACAGAGTTAAGTGACTTGCCCAGGGTCACACAGCTAGTAAGTGTCTGAGGCCACATTCGAACTCAGGTTCTCCTAACTCCAGGGCTGACGTTCTATCCACTGTGCCACCTAGCTGCCTGCCCTGCTGTTAGACTCCCTGCACTGGAATCCCAATTCTAATCCTTCCCAGTTGGGTGACTTTTGTCACATCATTTAATGTTTTGGTCTCAGTTTACTTAAGTGAGGGGATTGGATTAGATTTTCTCTGAGGTCCTTCCTATCTCTAGATCAATGATTCCTCAGACCTTGGTTTGGGTCCTGACTCTGATACGTAATAGGTGAAAGATTAAGGCAATAGCTAGCTAGCATTGGTAATGTGTATCAAAGTTTGCAAAGCGCTTTACAGATATTATTTCATTTTATCCTCACAACCACCCTGGGAGCTATTATTATTCCCATGTTAGAAATGAGTGTGACAGGGGAAGGAGATGGGGTTATACACTGATCATTTTCTCCAAGCAGTGGCTTTAAAATACATTACCTCTTTTGGCTTCAAAGTCACTGGTTTCAATCCATGGGCTTGTAGGACCTGCAGAACGAATGACAAGACATGAGGGGATTTCAGAAATAAATAACAACCTGATTCCACATCCATGTTTATGCTAGTAAAGGCTCCTTCAGATGTCAGGGCAACTACGTGGGTTGGCATCTCCGGCTCTAGCCTTACCCCTTCTCCAACAATCTTTCCTTTGGTTTTTGTTGTTATTCAGTTGTTTTCAGCTGTGTGCAACTCTTCAAGACCCCATTTGGGGTTTTCTTGGCACAGATACTGGGGTGGTTTGCCATTTCCTTCTCCAGCTCCTTTTCCAGATGAGGCAACTGAGGTGAACAGGGTGAAGTGACTTGCCCAGGGTCACACAGCTAGTGTCTGATGTCAGATTTGAACTCATGAAGATGAATCTTCCTGATTCCAAGCCCAGCACCCTATACACAGCACCACCGATAAATGCTTGTTGACTGGCTAACTCTGCACCTCACAGTACAAAATACCAAAGCCCTAACTAAAACTTTTTCTGCCTGGGCCAAGCATCACAAAATATACCCACACATCAACTATTAAATATAAATCAAGTTGAAGAAAACAGAGAAAAAGACTCTGGAATACAATGAGGCTGATTAGCTGAGGGGGAGATGCTGACTTGACCACAATGAAACTGGTATTTAGTAGCTTCCTATTTTATCTAATTATTGCTTCACTTTTAAGTTTGGAGTTCAGTTGTTTCTGTGATGCTGAAGGTACTATGAGCACCCTATAATTTTCAGCACCTTGGACCAAAGGTCTGATCACCTAGCCCTAGTTATGGTTCTATCCAGCACAGTGCCTAGCATATAGCAGGTGTCCAAAGAATACTGCTGACTGTTGAACATTGGATTGTGGGTGTCATACCAAAAGAGGACCCAGGCAGAGAAGAAGCCCCAGACACTTCCCCTTAAGTGGGGAACGTGAGTGAGAACAGCACAAGGCTACAAAATAATCTGTTGTGGGAAGGAAGGAACTGAGTTTATTCAGTGCTAAAACTAAAAGGATCATCCAGGGAACATGATAGCTATCTTCAAGTATCTGAAAACTTATATGGAAAAGAGACTAGGGATTTTTTTTTTTTTTTTTTTTTTTTTTTGCTTAGCCCCAGAAGCCAGAACTAGGAACAATGGAAATGGGCAGGGAGGCTGATACCAATCCAAAGTAAGAAAAATACTTCCTCATAATCAGAGCTGTTCAGCCGTGGCTGCTCTTTACTGTGTCTAGAGGGCTGCCTTGGGCTCCCTGTTCCTATAGGCCTTTAAACAAAAGATAGATAAGCACTTGATGGTGATTTTGTAGAGGGAATTTCCATCAAATGTGGGTTGGGCTAGATGGCCTTGGATATTCTTCCTGCTTTAAAATTCTGAGCTTTCGGAATTGCTCAGGGAACAACTATCCACTGTGGACGCTGCCCAGGCCTTGAGGACTTCTTTTTTCTAAGCTAAATGCAACCAGCAATTATTAAGCACCTACCCTGTTCAGTAATAACAGGTTCTCAATAAGGTCCCTTGCTCTGAAATTCTAGGCTTTCATAATTGCTCAGGGACCAATTATCTATCCTGTAGAGTAGACTGATTATACCCTTAGTTTCTCTTCTTTCTAAGCTAATTTTGATCTAACAGTTATGATTATGAGTAGTCTTAGGTTTTGAGATTTTGAAATGTCCCTCCTCTTGCCCAACACACACACATACACACACACACAAGTTCAGGGCAAAGTGATTGATGCCACATTGCATTTTGGTAATATCAAACATGTGGCACCATAGTGCATACAGCAATGGCTTTGGAGTCAGGAAGACTCATCTTCATGAGTTCAAATCTGGCCTCAGACACTTACTAGTTGTATGACCCTGGGTAAGTCACTTAATCCTGTTTGCCTCAGTTTCTTCATTTGTAAAATGACCTGGTGAAGGAAATGGCAAACCACTACAGTCTCTTTACCAAGAAAACCCCAAATGGGGTCACAAAGGGTCAGAAATGACTGAACAACAATAGCAACATTAAACATGAAGGTCATAAGATCATAGATTTAAAACAGGAAGGAACCTTAGAAGACATGTAGTCCAACCGCATCATTTTACAGATGCGGAAACTGAGGCCCAGAGTGATTTGTAAGTATATGAGATGGGATTAGAACCCAGGACCTCCTTAATCTGTCTACGTCTGAGCCTAGGATGCACCCCTCACATAGCATTATAGCTCTACAGGAGGTGGTATCATGGGAGTAGCTGCTAAAACAATTTGAATTTCCCAGCAGGATTCCAACAGGATCCAATCCTGTGCCTTAGAGGGCATCCTGAGTAAAATCTGATCTGGCTTCACAGCTATGCATTGGCCATCCATGTGGGCACCCCCAGAGCTTCCTTACATATTTGGCATCAGCCCAGCCACTCTTTGGAGACCACATCTTTCCTTCTCCTATAAGACCCAGGGCAAGGTGAGAAAGCGGGGCCAGGTCCCCACTGGCTCCAACTGTTCCCTTCTCTGGAACGTAGGGCAGGCAGGATGCTAAGAGAGAGAGAGAAAAAAAATCAGGCTACCATGGGGCACATGGGATGGGCTTCTAACCACACTGTGTCTGATGGAGAGAGACCCTTCCTTTTCCTCCTTCCCCCAGCTCCACCTGCCTCACCTCCCCCCAAATCTGGCGTTATCTGCTATCACAAAGAGCAGCCACTGTGTTCCAGCGAGATCCAGAGGATGAGATCACAGAGTCAGAGCTTGGGGAGACCACAGAGGACACTCCGTCTAACTCCCTTATTTTACAGAAGAGGAAACTAAGGTTCATGGAGATTAAGTGGCTTGTTGAAGGCCATCCTTTTATTGTTCAGTCATTTTCAGTTATATCCAACTCTTTGTGACCCCATTTGGGGTTTTCTTGGCAAAGATCCTGGAATGGTTTGCCATTTCCTTCTCCAGCTTATTTGACAGATGAGGAAACTGAGGCAAAGAATTAAGTGATTTGCTCAGGGTCACACAGCTAGTAAGTGACTGAGGCTGGATTTGAACTCAGGTCTTCCTGACACTCTATCTAAGGTCATTGCAGTAAGCATCATAGATTGAAAGATGGGAAGGAACTTTGAGGTCATCTAGTGTAGCTCCTTCATTTTATAGCCGAGGAAACTGAGGACCAGGGACATTTAGTGATTAGCCGTAGGTCACAGAGGTTGGATCTGAATAGAGGTTGTCTGACTCCAAATCCAGCACACTTTCTATTTCTATTACTCCATTAACATCAGGGTTTGAACCCAGCTCCCTTGACTCTGGGGCCAATTATCATGCTATCTTCCTATCTAAACAGGAAAATCCCAAGGTAGAGTAAGATTGGGCAGACCTAAACTTCCAGAGTTTGGGTGAACCAACATGATCAATAATAAAAATAAAAAGCAGGACTACTAGCCCTGTGAAATACTGTGAAGATTGCTGCATTGGAAATCATAAAACTAGGCTTCAAATCCTGCTCTACAACTCCCTGTGTAACCTTGGGAAAATCACTTTATATCTCAGAGATGTAATTGTCTCATCCGTAAAAATGAAGGGATTATATCAGACGGCCTCTGAGGTCCTTTTCCACTCTAAATCAGCAATCCTTTCATCTCTCTGGGCCTCAGTTTCCTTTTCTGTGAAATGGGGAGGTGGGGAATAGATGACCTCTGGAGTCCCTTTTAGATCTGGGAGCCTATGGTCCTCAAACACCACATTTTAGAAGGAGCATTGGTAAGCTGGAATACAACCAAAGGAGAGCAATCAGAACAGTGAAGGGACTTGAAATTGTGTTCTGTGGGGATTGGTTGGGAATTGTTTAGCCTGGGGAAGAGAAGAATGGAGTGAGAGGGGATCATGGTAACATTTCAAGTCTCTGAAGGTTTAGTCTTGTTCATGAATTTTGGTTGGATTTTAGGGAGAACATTCCAGCAATTAGAAATGTCTCAAATTGTAGCAGGCTATTCCAAGAGGTAGTGAGTGACTCGGCAGGGATGGTCTTTATGTGGAGGTTGAATAGTCATTCAACTTGTTGGGTCATTTCCAACTTTAGACCTATGACCCCATGACCAAAGACTAAAGGCCCAATATTTTAAGCTTATATAACTTGTAGAAGGAATTCATGTTTTAGGGGAAGACTGGGTGAGATGGTTATCAAAGCATAGATTTAGAGCTGGTAGGGACCTTAGAGGCATCTAGGTCAACTCCCTTATTTTACAGATGAGGAAACTGAGACCCCAGGGAAGTGACTTCCTCAAGATTGTATAGATAATAAGTGGCATAGTTGGGATTTCAACCGCGGTCCATTGATTCTGAATCTAGTATTTTTCCCGCTACACCACCTCCCATTTTTGGGATTCCATGATTCCATGATCAGTCCAAGTAGTCACAGAAACATTCACTTATGATACAACTGCCAATTGCTGGATCAGGTCAGCAGAACAGAGATGGAACAGCTGAAATTCTAGAAAATGGGGCACTCTAGTGGCCTGGTCCTCTAGCCTCATTATATGGGAGTGTCCAATGTTGCTTCACAATGGAATTTCCCCAGCTCAAGTACAAGGTATTTTCTACCCAAAAGAATTTAACAGCATCAAAATCACTTGCTTAACTGTCTCTGTCACTTTATGCCAGCTAGTAATTCCCTCCCTGGCCCTCAGTTTCCCCATCTGTAAAATGAGGGGGTTGGTCTAGATAGCCTCTTTTCAGCTTTAGCTCTGTGATGCTATGACAACTGGGGACTAAAAAGCTTATGTAATTTGTTCTTATCTTTGTAAAACTGATAATGATAATAGCTCACATTTTTTTAGTCCTTTAAGGTTTGCAAAGCATTTTACACACATTAGGTCATTTGATTCTTCCAACAATTCTTTTTTTTTTTTTTTTTTTGCACTCTGGTGAGGCAATTGGGGTCAAGTGACTTGCCCAGAGTCACACAGCTAGTTAAGTGTCATGTGTCTGAGGCCGGATTTGAACTCAGGTCCTCCTGACTCCAAGGCCAGAGCTCTATCTACTGCTCCACCTAGCCACTCCACTTCCAACAATTCTTGCTGTTGAAGGGAGATGTTATTTTTATCCATATTTTACAGATGATGAAACTGAGGCTTTGTCCAGGATCACAGAGCTAGTAGTAATCTGAGGTGGAATTCAAATCCAGACCTTCCTGACTCCATATTTAACAGAAAATAAAGTTTTTTTATAGACTATATTTTGACATAAAAAAATTGAACCCCATCTCTGGTAACATTCATCTTCCTCATTTCCCTTTCCCTCCTCCCATCTCAATCCTTTCTGATTCCCTTCTTCCTGTCCTTCCTGTCATCCCGTTGACTAGCCTGATAACATTCTATTTTGTATTAAACTTCCAGCCAACAGGTAATTACCGTTAAACATTTCGATAACTTGTTGGAGAGTTTCCAGGGAAATTCCACTGTATCCTTTGGCTAAGACATTGATTCTCAAAGCCATGAGCATCCGGCATCTCTCGGGGATCAGTGGTTTCCCAACACCTATGAGGACATCAACAGAACAAACATTTTGTCTTCCCCAATCAATCCCAACCCTTCTGCCACTCAGAGAAAAACCAGAAGTTTCAAGTAACTTCTCCTTACCTGAAGAATGGGAGCGCACTAAATTGACCTGGAGTTCCCTAAGAGAGGAGAGGAAAAAAAGAGAGAGAAAGAAAAGAAAAAAAAATTAATCTTCAACCTGGGTTCTCTTCATTTAACAATTTCCACCAAAATGATAGAGGCCAGTCAACAAGTATTTGTTACATACTAATTATGTGCCAGGCACTGTGCTAAGTGTTTTTCAAATATTATCTCATTTTATCCTCACACCAAACCTGGGAGTTTCTATTATTATTACCCTTATTTTAAAAATGGAGAAACTGAGGCAGATGGTGGCTAAGTGATTTGCTTAGGGTCACACAGCTAGTAAGTATCTGTAGCAAGATTTAAACTCAGTTCCTCCTAACTCCAAATCTAGTACTCAATATAATATGCCACCAAGCTGTCTAGGAGCATTACGAAATGAATTCACAAAGAATCTGAGTAAATTACTCAGAGAAAATGTCTCCCACCTACCTTAGCTTACTGATGGGGATGACAGTTCTGGCAAATTTTCCAAATCCAGTAGTGATTCCATAAACAACTGAAAAGGAAAGAAGATATGGGGTCGATTAGCCACAGATAATCATTTCATTTAAAAAATTATATTTAGATCTCATGCCCCAAAGGAGAATGAATGGATACCGGTTTTCTCTCTCACGATACTTTCGATGACCTCTCTGGAGTCCTGCACTCGCTTCTCAGCCTCCGGAGTAAGCTAGGAAACAATAGATAAGGGGCTTGGTTGGGATATTTCCTAAGGTGGGGCAGTGGTGATTTCAGGGTGTCTCCCCTTACCTAATATATTTACCTTGATTTTGTACAGTCCTTTTCCTAAACTGACCAAATCCTCGGTTGTCAGACTATCTCCGTCTAAGGCGATATACTGGTCAAAAGAAGTGGATTTTAGTGAGGGAAGAACTCAATGGATATGAGACACTACAAGTGAACGGGGTGAGGTGAGCCCCTCCCCAAGTCAATGGAATCTTGGGCTTCATTGAGAGACAACAATTTCTGGAATAAGGGGGTGATAAGTCCCACTGTGTCCTGCGCTTGTCAGATCACACCTAGAGCGTTGTGTTAGGCTCTGAGGACCATAGTTGAAGGTGGACATTGATAAAAGCTAGAGAGTGTACAGAGAAGGGCAAACAGAATGGAGAAGGACCTTTGCCATATACATGGGGCAGGTGTGTGTATGTGTGTGTGTGCTGCAACCAATTGAATTTCAGTGTGATGACTAATATGGTAATATGTTTTGCATGACTGAACACATATAACTCATATCAAATTGCTTACTGTCTCAGGGAGGGGGAGGTGAGAGACGGAGAGAGAAAATCTGGAACTTAAAATTTTTTAAAATGAATGTTTAAAATGGTCTTTACATGTAACTGGGGAAAAATAAAAATAAATAAGTAAGCAAGTAAGCAAGTAAATAAATAAATAGATTTCATTGGAAGCATTTATACCTTGGAAATCAGCAAATTACAAATTGAAGATTGATTTCTTATCTTGTTGATTGTCTAGACTTTATAAAGTAATGGAGAAAATGTTGCTAATGGCGATGAAACTTAAAAGTGTGTCTTGCATACATTTTGTTTCCAGAGAGCTGGGAGTTAAATATTTACCAGCACACCCCTGCATTTCAGTGTGGCAGAATCAAGGCTATTTAGCCTGAAGAAGAGGAGAGGGGATGATGTGATACCGTCTTCCAGTGTTCCAAGGGCTGTCACACGGGAAGAGGGATTAGATTATTCCATTTCACCCCAAGGGACAGATTTAGGAGCTGTAGGTGGATGTTGGCCCATAGGTCCATTTAGGATTTGATAAAGTTCCTTGCAGTTAAAGTCATCTACAGGTGGAATGGGGTGCTAGTTTCCTTCTCGTTGAAATTCTGCCAGAAGAGGCTGGAAAATCACTTGCCAGATATGTTAGGTTTTCAGTATGACTTGGATTACATGGTCTGAGCTCCCTTCCAATGCTGAAATTCTGATATTCTGATACGCAGAATTGAATGTGGGTACTCCAGAGAGTTCACCACTGTAGTGAAATGTGAATACAGTCACAGCACATGTTTTAAAACAGTAGATTTTAAAATAAGGGGTGGGAGGGGCAGCTAAACTGTGATAAAGAGAGCAAAAGTTGGCACAGTTTCTCAAAATCTCTCCTATGTCTATAAGGGCCTTCTGCGCATTCATTCAGTTCCACCACTATTTCATGAGTGTCTACTATTTACAAGGTGTCACACTGTAGAACGTAAGCTCCATGAGGAGCTTACAGGAATTACTGTGGTTTGGTTTTTGTCTCCCCCAGCTCCTGGCTCATAGTAGGTGCTTAATAATTCTTGCTGAACTGGGTCATGCTGGTGTCTTAAAGCCAGGGGTAATTCTCTTACTATCTGCCATCAGTCGGAAAGGGTTCAGGACACTTCCCTTTATAAATAAAAATTGCCACTGTTGGCCTGCATTTTCCTATCAGAAAGGTGTTGTTGAATCAATTCAGTCATGTTTGACTCTATGTGACCCCATTTGGGGTTTTCTTGGCAAAGGTACTGGAGCGGTTTGCCATTTCCTTCTCCAGCTTTTTGACAGATGAGGAAACTGAGGCAAATAGGGTGAAGTGACTCGCCCCGGGTCACACAGCTAGTAAGTGTCTGAGGCCAGATTTAAATTCAGGAAGATGAATCTTCCTGACTCCAGGACCAGCGCTCTATCCACTATGGCGCCACCTAGCTGACCCTTCCTACCAGAAAGACCATTGGTTAAATCCTACCTTGTCAGGTTCCCGGTATTTGCTGTAGCTGAAAAAAGCCTGTTAAAGGAAAGATGCATAAAACAGAGCAATGATGATCTCAAAGAAGGATAAGATGATGGTCAGAAAAGGATACAGATAAACTCCTTCCGGTTGAGATGGAATGAAGTCTGGAGACATCACATCCCCTTCTATCACTGAAAAGAGAAGGCCAATGAGTCTTAAAGGGTGCAAGGTCAAAACTTCCCTCAAAAATTTTACAGTTAAAAAGAAGGCAAGGCCACGATGTAGCCCACTTTCCATCAATAACTGAATCAATACAACAGAAACTGTCACTGCACCTTCTTTCCCCCCAAAGCAAAGGTGTTTACTGAAATAACATAGCATGAATAGTAACAAAACCGCCCCCAATAAGCCTGGGGTTCCCCCTCCCACAAACAGGCGTAGCAATAGTGAGAAGACTAGTAGAAAGGTATATATTTAGGGAATACAGGCAGCTATAACCCTTCACACTCCCAGGGCCCCAGTGTCTAACCAAATGATGTAACATGTTATTTGAAAAACAGTGTTTTTGCAAATCTTAAAACACTTTGTAAACGATGGTTGTTGCTGCTGCTGTTGTTATTGCTGTTATTATTATTGCTATCATTATTATTATTATTATCATTATTTTGCCTTCACATGGTGTCTTCACACTATCCCCCCTGAGCCCAGCTGGCCCAGGCTGCTCAGCTTGCCCCACAGGTCTGGCTCCTCTCTCAGCCTCCTCCCGAACTTTCCAGTCTTCTTACACCTTGTACCTCACCACATCCAGTAATAACATTGGCCTCCTTGCTGTCTCTCCCACAAGACCCTCCCGTCTCCTGACTATGGGCATGTTCCTTGTCTGTCCCCCAGGCCTGGAATTCTCTCCCTCCTTGGCTCTGCCTTCCGGCTTCCATGACTTCCTTCAAATCCCAGCTAAATCCCACCTTCTTCAGGAAATCATTCTTTTTTTTTTTTTTTTTTGGTGAGGCAATCGGGGTTAAGTGATTTGCCCAGGGTCACACAGTTAGTGTCAAGTGTCTGAGGCTGGATTTGAACTCAGGTCCTCCTGACTTCAAGGCCAGAGCTCTATCCACTGCACCACCAAACTGCCCCAGGAAACCATTCTTGATACCCCCTCTTTATTCTAATGCATCTCTCTCTCTCTCTCTCTATTTCTTTCTCTCTCTCTCTTTCTGTCTGTTTTTCTGTCTCCTTTCTCTATCTCTATCTATTTCTGTGTCTTTATCTGTATGTATCTATCTCTATCTGTATCTCTATTAACCTATCATCCATCCATCCATTTATCTCTCTCTATATATATATCTGTATCTATTTCTCTACCTGTATTTATCTATTTATCTCTATCTGTCTGTCTTTCTGCTAGTCTATATATCTATCCATCCATCCATTTATCCATTTGTCCCTCCATCTATCTTTCTCTGTCCCTCTGTCTATCCATCCATCTATCTTTCTGTCTACCTTTCTGTTTGTCTTTCTCTCCATCCATCCATCCATCCATCCATCCACCCATGCATCCATCCATCCATCTATTGGTCTGTCCCTCTATCTATCTATCCATCTATCATCTATCTATTTATCATCTATCTAGTTTATACATCATCTGCCCATTAGACTGTGAGCTCCCTGACAGCAGAGACTGTCTTTTGCCTCTTTTTGTATACTCAGGGCTTAGCAATCTGCCTGGCACATAGTAGGTGCTTAAATGTTTACTGGCCGACTGCAGCTCAACTCTCAACTCCTAGGAATAATTGTCTTTAGACTGAAGTGCATCTTTTACAAAAGCACAGATTCTAAATGATGCTCTGGATGGCTACATAAATGGAAGAAAGACCACTGAGAGAGAGAAATCAATAATAGTACTGGGAGACAAGTCATTAGAGGATCACAGAGTTGGAAAGGAATTTAGAGGTCATTTTGCCCAACCTCCTTATTTTAAAGATGAGGAAACTGAGGCAAAGAGAGGTCAAGTAATTGACCAAAGTCATCAAGGTAATATTTGAGGCAAGATTTGAATCCAGGTCCCTTGACTCCATGCCAGCATTCTTTCTGCCATACTGTGATGCTTCTCGATGAATGAAGTTTACTTTCCCTCATAGCTCTGCCACTTACTACCAGTGTGGCCCTGGACAAGTTTCTCTTCATTTCTCTAGGCCTCAGTTTCCTCTTTTGTAAAAATGAGTTGTACTAGATGGCTTCTAATGTCCCTTCCAGATCTATGATCCTCATTGCAGAGATGTGAGTAACTAAAAAGGACAGAAAAATATATATACACATACATACATACATACATATATGTGTAATATATAATTAATCAATCAGTAAACATTTATTAAGCTCCTATTATGCACCAGGCACAGTGTTAAACACATATTGCTCAACATGTACTTAACACTGTGCCTGGCACACAATAGGCGTTTCACAAATGTTTACTGATTGATTGATTATATACAAACAAAAGACATCACTAAGACATTTTTAAAAAGAAAGAGAAAGTAGGTGTTAAAGTATAGTGAGTAGGACTTAAAATAATTCCTTAAATAAAAAAAATAAAATAAATTCCTTCCCTTTGACCTGCTCCTTTCCCAAGAACCACCAATCACACAACAACAACTGACCTTCAAAAACTTCTTCTCTAAAGAGCACTGTGTGTGCTTGGGCAAAAATCATTTTTTTCTTTCTAGGATGCATTTTCCTTACTCACTTTCCTCATCTGTAAAATGAGGGAGTTGAACTAGGTAACTTTCAATAGCCCTTCTTTTCTCTGAGACTCAGTTTCTTTATAAAATGAGGAGGCTGGAACAGATAACCAACCTCGAAGGGCCCTTCCCTTCTCAAGGCCTCAGTTTCCTCATCTGTAAAATGATCAAGTTGGACCAGATGACCTAGTTGGACCTCTTCTAGCTCTCAGCCAGTGATCCTGTTCGTATCTTCCAGCCAGGAAGGATGACTCGGAAGGGTGGGTTGAGAGACGCCACCTCCTTTCTCCATTCATGGTCTACTTCTGCTCCGATCTATAACCCCACTGACTCTACTTACCAACTTCCACAAATTCATTGTTCTCCAAGGCAACTTCTAACAGGTCATCATGGTCCAGCAGACCCAACCCCTTACATCTCCGCATGTAGAACCTCACATCATCCACTGAGGCAAAACCTCCATTGTCAGGCTTATTCTTCATGTACCTCCTCACGGCTTCCCGGCCCAACCACCTCACCGTGAGACCGCCATCCTGACATGGCACAGCCAGCCACTCCCCCCGGACGTGGACCGTATATCTGGGCATCTTCTTTCTCCTGAAGGTCTGTTTCCTTTGAGTATCTGCCTGGAATGATACCTCTCCTGAAGAGGACTGAGACCGGAGATAACTGTGTGTCACTCCAAAGGCTATGACCTAGAAGTCAGTCTGTAGAGAGGGAGGGAGCCAATCAGAGAGACCTTTTTCCTCTTGCCTATTCAGGTTGATTAGGCCATTGTTTGGAAAGAGTGTCACCCACTCCCAAACTGGGTCAGGAGACACACCTCCTTATCAAGCTTGGGAGTGAAATAACTAGTGGTTCAGGTGTTATTTTCCCCCTAGAAATGTTTTAACTCAGCACTGACTATAATGATGGCAGTGGGGTAATGTTTGAAGGGAAGGAATTGATTTTTTTGAAAAATAAACCCTCTCTCACTTTGCCCTTTGATCTATGCATTGCAATCGAATGCCTGCCTGATCTAAGTGAGAGAGCAGACCTGAGGCTTCAGATGTAATTTAGTGAACCAGTTATCAATGGCAATAAATAAATCCAACAAACATTTATTAAGAATATACAGTATATTACTGTGCCATAAGAAATGAGGAGCAGGAAGATAAGCTTGGAAAGACTTATATCAACTGATATAGAGTGAAGTGAGCAGAACCAGAACACTAAACACAGTAACAGCCATAATGTATGATGAAGAATTGCAAATGACTTAGCTATTCTAAGCAATACAATGATCCGAGACAACTCTGAAGGACTTATGATGAAAAATGCTGTCTGTCTCCAGAAAAAGAACTGAGCATAGACTGAAGCATGCTATTTCTCTCTCTCTCTCTCTCTCTCTCTCTCTCTTTCTCTCTTTCTCTGTGTGCCATTCCAAAGGCTATCACCTAAAAGTCAGCCCACAGAGAAGGAAGGCCAATGAGGGAGACACTTTTCCTCTTCCCTGTGCAGACTGATTAGGCCACTGTTTGGAAAGAGTTCCACCCACTCCCGGGCTGAAACTTCTGATTCTATCTATCTTAGAATTAGGGCAGAGTTTTACATAGGTTCCAAAAATATGCATCTCGATAAGTACTCTTTGTGCATAGGACAGCTTTGAAATAATTAAGAAGTCTGTCTCACCTACTGACTAACCAAGATTCCACAGGACTGGTGGTTTTACATGTTACCCATCTCCTGTGCTAGAGGTGATGGACTCCTGACACAGAATGAGACCTATACAGGGTATCCCCAAAGTCTTTAATCTATCAAAGCTGCACTAGGACTTTTGGGATGCCCTGTATTTTTTGGACATAGCCAATTTGGGAGTTTGACTGGGCTTTTTGTTACAAGGTGAAGGAAGGAGCAGGAAGAGAAAAAAATATATTTTTTTGTTAATGGGAAAAGTATTAATTGATTAAATTTTAATTAATTTTAATTTAATGTTGACTGATCATGGATGGCAGTTTACCAGCATAGGTCAGCACGTGCTGTGCAATGTATTGTCCTCAGAGAATCACTGAATGATTAAATGCCTTGCCCAGAATCACACAACAATTACTTGTTAGAGGTGAGACAAGAGCTCAGGCTGTCCTGACTCTGAGGCAGGTTCTCTACTCACTGGAGAGAGGGCAACACTGACAGAGGAAGCTTCATCATTAGGAGCTCCTTATTCCAATTAAATAACATTCCTCTCTCCCCCTACCCCGCAACAACAGTAACCACAGCAGCAACAATCTTCCTTCCTTCCTTCTTTTCTTCCTTCCCTTCCTTTGACTTGCCCCATTTCTAAACTGAATGGTTTGTCTGTCCTTAGGCAGCCTGAAGCCTGTGTCCTTCCCCGCTCCCCTCACTGGTACTGGACTTACTTCAGACACCCAATAGACTTTAGCCCTATTATAGCTCAGAACTCTGCTCAGCTCAAGGGACCCATCTGACTCAGTCTCCCCATTAGCACAGATTACAGGTATGCACCACACCTGGCCACACAATTGCTTTTCCTTAAACCAAAAAAATCACTGCAGGTAGTAAAAAAAAAAAAATAAATAAAATAAAAGGGAGGGGGCATTATTTGCTCAGAGCACGACAAATGAAGTATTTTTGATGGAGAAGTAACTGGTGAATTAAATGATGGAAACTTCCCATCAAATCTCCTAAATATAAACTTTCAGTTTTGATGGTTTGGGTCTGAATTACCTTTGTACTTCCCTCCCAATCTCTATAAAACTTCATCAAATGGCTCTGTTACAGAGTAGCCCCAGGTGGTAGAGAAAACCAAGGGTAAGTGTTCTTTATGCTTTGAAGGATGGTTGTGATTCTGTAATTCCTTAGTGAACTCTGACAACATGTGGGTACTCAGAAAAGGAGGAGAGTTTCAGGATACAAAGGTAGCATGTTTCCTGCCCTCTGGGAGTTCACAACCTAACTGGAAAAGAGAAGGCTTTCCTACATGAAATTCAAAATTGAGAAGAGGAAAAATGGAATCAAATGCTCAATTGTACAGCACAGACCAGGAGTGTTATTGTAAGAGATGGGAGAAAGGAAAAGAGTAATTTAAGCTTCTGGAGTTAGGGAATAAAGAAGTGGGGTATAGTCCGGGCTTTGAAAGGCAAGAGTACAGGCAGGTTATTTCAAAGGAAATGATAGACAGGACCTGTGATCTCACTGGTCTAGGGAACTCCCAGGTGAGGAAATTCCCTCTACTAGTACAGGTTGGCACCTTCTCTGCAACTGGGACACTCAGGGGTTAAGACACATGTCCAGGGCCACAAAGCCAGGATGTGCCAGAGGCAAAATATGAACCCAGGTCCTCTCGGATTTGAGGTTGGTTTCTTCCCCATTCTGCCCTTAAGGAGGGGATCATGAGTTAGGGCATGGAAGTAAGCAGGGGAATAACTGGGATCATAGGGTTGTAATTTTGGAGCTGGAAGGGACTTGAGAGGTCATGAAGTCCAACCCCCTCATTTTACAGATGAGGAAACTGAGGCCAACCAAGACCATGACAGTGGGAAAACAGCAAAGACACCAACTTGCCTACAGGAGTGAGAGCCTGGTGTTGTTGAGTATGGGTAGATCCAGGTCGACTCACTGTCATTACCATCTTGGCATGAGACTGAACTCTCTGAGATAAAAGAAAAAGGAAAAGGGCCTATATGTACAAAAATATTTAGAGCAGTTCTTTTTGTGGTGACGAAGAACAGAACATTGAGGGGGCACCCATCAATTGGGGAATGGCTGAACAAGTTGTGGTATATGAAATGATGGAAAACTATTGTGCTATAAGAAATGATGAGCAAGTGGACTTCAGAAAAACCTGGGAAGACTTATGTGAACTGATGCAAAGTAAAGTGAGCAGAACCAGGAAAACACTGTACACAGTAACAGCAATACTGTAACAATGATCATGCTATATAACAATGACTTAGCTGTTCTTTTGTTTTCTTTTAATAATGTATTTATTTAGTTTTAGTTTTCAACATTCACTTCAATAAGATTTTGAGTTTTAAATTTTCTCTGCCTCCCCGTCCTTCCCTCCCCCCTGCCACCCCTTGGACGGCGTGCATTCTGATATAGGCTCTACTTATACATTCATATTAAGCATATTTTCCCATTAGTCATGATGTAAAAAATAATTAGAATTAATGGGAGGAACCATGAGAATGGAGCAATAAAACAAAACAACAGAGAGAAAGGAGAGCAACTAGTATGCTTCCATCTGCATTCAGACTCCGTAGTTCTTTCTCTGGATGTGGACAGTATTTTCCACCATGAGCCTTTTGGGGTTGATTTAGATCCTTGCATTGCTGAGAAGAGCAAAGTCTATCAAAGTCAGTCATTGCACAATGTGGCTGTTATTATATACAATGTTCTCCTGGTTCTGCTCATTTCACTCAGCATCAGTTCATATAAGCATTTCCAGGTTTTGCTGAAGTCTGCCTGCTCATCATTTCTTATAGCACAATAGTATCCCATTACGTTCATACACCACAGCTTGTTCCCCAATTGATGGGCATCCCAATTTCTAATTCTTTGCCACCACAATAAGAGCTGCAATAAATATTTTTGTACATGTGGGTCCTTTTCCCATTTTAATGATCTCTTTGGGATATAGACTTAGAAATGCTATTGCTGGGCCAAATGACTTAGCTATTCTTTTTTTTTTTTTTTTGTGAGGGCAATTAGGGTTAAGTGACTTGCCCAGGGTCACACAGCTAGTAAGTGTTATGTATCTGAGGTCAGATTTGAACTCAGGTCCTCCTGACTCCAGGGCCAGTGCTCTATCCACTGTGCCACCTAGCTGCCCCCGACTTAGCTATTCTGATCAATACGATGATCCAAGACAATTCTAAAGGACTTATGATGAAAAATGCTATCCATCTCTAGAGAAAGCACTGATAGAGCCTGAATTCAGATTGAAACATTCTTTTTATTACTTTATTTTTCTTGGGTTTATTTTGGGGGGGGTGGGGGGTTATGTTTTCCTTTGCAACATAGCTAATATGGAAATATGTCTTGAATGTACATGGATAATCTATATCAATTGGCTTGTCTTCTCAAGAAGGTGGAAGAGTAGGAAGGAGGGAGATCATTTGGAACTCAAAATTGAAAAAAAAAGAATGTTTAAAAATTTATTTGCACATAATTGAGGGGAAAAAAAGGATGGAGCTCTCTGGTCCATTCCTAGTGGGGTGACCCTGGAAGAGTCAACCTTTCTGGGCCTCAGTTTACAAAATGAGCAGGTTGGACTCAGTGACCTCTAAGGTACCTTGTAGCCCTAAACAGATGATCCTATAATTTAGATATTTTAACATTTTCCTTACAAAATGGTTTTTCAAATATGTTAATCATAGTTCAGTGTCATTTTAATAGCTCCAAAAATGACTTAATGGAAGCTCTGGAGGCTAAGGTGAAAGAATGACGATTGAGTTGAATAAAAAGGAATGGAGTTCAACAGGTTGCTTAGAATGAAGTTTAAACTGTAATTGGGGGGGTGTCTAGACCCCTAAAATTTCTTTGGTCCCAGGATGGAACCTCTCTCCACCAATGCAAATTTGCATATCCAACTGTAACTTGATTTTTAGAATTGTCTGGGTCACTGACAGATTGAATTCTAGTGCTTTCCCTCTATTAATTACTTCCTCTTTATCCTATATACAGCTTGCTTTTTATCAA